TTATCCACAGGTTTATGGACTACAAGTCTTCTGCCCTGGCTGGGATCCAAGGTAATACAGTTAGAGTAGCCGGGCCTACAGGTATGACCTGTGCCTGGAGGGAACATGGCTCCGCAGCCTAGCAGTTCAGTTGTGGAGGAGAGCAGCATCTTAGGACACACAGGGCCGAGGGCTTGTCCCACAAGGCCCTGGGGCACAGGCTTCAGAGCATCAACAGCAGCTCCACTCAGGAACCTGCTGAAGGTAATTTTCCTGTTCATGAGTGTGGGGATGAGATGAACATCTCTGTGAGGCAGCTGGCATGGGCCTCAGCTTCCATAAAGTGAAGCAGCATTATTAGCCACTATGGCACAGACCAACCGTGCCTGACCACCAGGCAGGGAACTCAGGGCTCAAAGGGGAAACTGAAATTCAGAGGTGATATTTATTTTGACAATGAAAAAGTTCTGGAACCAGATGGTGGTGATGGTTCTACAATATGGTAAAGCACTTAATGTCACTGAATTGTGAACCTAAAAATGGTTACAATGGTAGTGTGTATGTGTGTGTGTGTGTGTGTGTGTGTGTGTGTGTGTGTTTCCATAGTAAACTTCCAAAAAAGTAAGTATGCGCATGGATTTCCAGCACCCCTCCCATATGGCAAGTGTGCACTGGTTAGACTATATTCCTAGTAATCTATTGCTGGAGTTTTCTTCCACCTAAAATTAAATTCACAGGATATGGTTTCTAAATAACTGAAATTCTGAAAAGCTAAATCCAAGATTTTCTCCATGTACCCTCCTGTACTCCAAGCCTGTTGTGTTTCTACCAGCTGTGATGGTGCCAGCTACTTGGGAGGCTGAGAGGAGGATGGCAAGTTGAAGGCCAGCCTGGGCAATTTAGCAAGACCCTCTCTCAAATTAAAAAATAAAGAAGTCTAGAGATGTATGTAGTTCAGTGCAAGGTCCTGGGTTCAATTCTCAGTACTGCAAAACAAAGCCAAAAAACACTATTGAGTTTCTACCATGGACTTTGGCAGCCTTAACAACTTTTTTTTGTTTTGTTTGAATACGATTTTACTGGAAACCATGTGCACCTTATTACCTTCTTGAATTCTTTTTTGTTCTCCAAAAAAGTAATGATGCTCACCACAGACTTGATTTTGAACTAAAACAGCCTTTGAGCTTCTAAAGGAGCTACATCCACTTCCAGGGAGGGACAGTCCTGGAAATAGCTTAGGAAAACTGAACACTGAGAACCCCCAAGAACTCCCGCTGTGGTCTGAATGTTTGTGCTTCCCCGACCCCAGGATTCACATGACACTTAATCCTCAGTGCAGTGGTTTGCGAGGTGATTCGGCCTCACAAATGGGATTAGTGCTCTTAAAAAGGAGGCTCCAGAGAAAGGGCTCTTGATGGACCCTTCTGCAGGACCCTCACAAGGCCCCATCTATGAGGAACTCCCCCACCACTGCTAGGGCTTTGCTCTTGGACTTCCTGGCCTCCAGAACTATAAAAAATAAATTTCTTTTTTTAATAAACTACCCAGTGTTTTGTGGTAGCAAGTCAAAAAGTTTGAAGCAACTCTTCATCTGTTAATGAGCAGAACAAGAAATCAGGGAGGATGGTGTGGGGACTTTAAGAACGTTGGATTTTAGATTTTTAACTCACAAAGCCAAGATCATTTGATTTCAGATTGTCATTTCTCTGGACTTTAGTTTACAAAGGCTTTTAATTTTTGAGATATAATTTCTCCCTGGAGATTATATTCAAATTTGTGGAATTTCTGTGTTTCAGTACCATAGTAGCAATTTTTTTTCCCCCCCAGTACCAGGAATCGAACTTACGACCTTGCGCTTGCCAGGCAGGCACTCTGCCACTGAGCTAAATCCCCAGAACCCCCATAGTAGCAATTTAATGTCATCTATTTTTAATTTTTTTTTCTATTGAACCCAGACTAAATGCAGACTGAGTTGCAGTCCCAGCCCTTTTTATTTATTTATTTATTTATTTATTTATTTATTTATTTATTTATTTATTTAGAGACAGAGGCTCACTATGTAGCTCAGGCTGGCCTCAAACTCATAGTGATCCTCCTGCCTCAGCCTCCTGAGTGCTGGGATTATAGGCATGTGTCACCACACCTGGCTCAAATTTTTTGACACAGGTTCTCATTAAATTGGTAAATTGCCCAGGTTGGATTTGGAATTGTGATCCTCCTGCCTCAGTCTCCGAGAGTGCTGGGATTACAAGTGTACATCACCATACCTGGCTTAATGCTGTCATTTAGTCACACTGTAGGACCTCTGGTATGGTATGTTGGACAACATGACAAGATATAATTTGGGATGAGAAAATAGAAAAGTTGAGTTTTCAACTTTGGGGCTATAGCTGCCTTGAAGTAGATTAAGGTTTTATTCTTTCCCATTTCGGAGTCTTCTAGTGCAGTCTCTAAGTCAGCAGTTTATAACCCTGTTGTGCATCAGAATTGAGCCTAGGGAAAATATATTTTCAGGGCCCCAAACAAATAAGTAGTGGCTGGAACAATCTACTCAAGCTTCACATTGAGATGCTAAGCAGTGGGTCTGGGCCCTAGTAGTATGTAATGCTTTCCCATCTCTGGTTGCCTCTAACAGGGGCAATCTTCGGATGCTGATTCCCAGGCTCTACTAGGGATTCTTACTTAATGGGCCTGACACGGTATTCAGTGTTAACATAGTCTTAGTTCTGAGGTTCTGTTGAAAGATACATTTGGCTCTTGAACTTCACAGGCTTTATTAGCAAAAAAGGAGAAATTTTGGTTCCCCCTCTGCTTACTTTTTTTCTTGAGCCAGAATCTCCCTGTGATGTGGCCCAAGTTGACCTCAAGCCTTTCAGCTGAAGAAACCACCTTCCTTAGCTTTCCGAGAAATGGGGACTGGCAGGGCATGGTAGTGCATGCCTATAATCCCAGAACTCAGCAGGCTGAGACAGGAGGATTGCTGCAAGTTCAAGGCCAACTTGGGCTACCTAGGGAGACCCTGGCTCAAAAAACAAAACAAACACACAAAAAAGAAAGGAAGAAAGAAAAGAAGAGAAGAGAAGAGAAAGAAAAGAAATTTAGGCATAGGCCACTGCACCTGCCTCTCCCTTTGCTCATTCTCATCAGTTAGGGGATCTCAAGGATGGGTAGATCCTCCACCAACAGACTTAACACTGTGTGCTCCATGTAAAGGGAACAACCCCTAATTACTTGGCTCTGGATATGGGTCATCTGGGAGAAACTGTTCCAAGTGGCAGCGGCAACAGGATGGCGCAGGGGAGGAGTGTGTGCAGACAAAAGCCCACTTGCCAGGCCTGCCTGGCTTCTCTGCACAGGCAGAACTGGAAGAGGCCCCAAGGGCAGCCCTACTTCTGACAGCAAGGATACCTACAGCAGGAAAAGATAAGGATGCAACAGGGCAGGGTGGCACGGAGTCAGAAACATGGGGGCCCAGCCCCAGCTCTGTCAGTAACTAGCCAGTGACCTTGATGAGTCACCTAATCCCATCACACCTTGGGCTCTTCATCCAATTTGAGAGAGTTGGATCTGGATGATTTCCATTAGTTAGTTTCAGGTAAAACATTTTGAAGTTGTATGAGCAGGTTCAACTATACAAAAACTTGAAATGCCTATGTAAAGATAGCACCAACAAAGACAAAGAGGATCAAAAGATCAGGAAAAGTAAGTCCACCCAAAGGGGACCAGTTACTGATAGTGTAGCCATTCACCAGAATATCATGCAGCAGACACTATATGCTGATATGGAAAAATCTCTAATTCAAAAGGTAATTAAAATACGAAGGTGCTAAGCAGCATGTAAAAGGCAAAAAATGTATATTAATGTAAAAATATATATGCATATTTACTCATATAAGCATAGACCACCTTTGGATGGCTAAAGAAAAATTTGTAAAAGTTGTTTGCTTTCCTGGAGGGAAGCTGAGTGCTAAAGAGCAGCAGATAGGAAGGAGACCTTGGTGGGTGCTCCTTTATACTTTCTGGATTTCAAAACATATGACTGAGGGGCTGGGGATTTAGCTCAGCAACACAGCGCCTGCCTGGCAAGCGCGAGGTTGTGAGTTTGATTCCTGGTACCGGAAAACAAAAAAACAAAAAACATATGACTGCATTATCTTAGGGCAGTGGTGGCACTCATGCCATAGTGGGCTATTTGTATCACTGAAAGCTCTAAAAGGTCCGCCATCACTGCCTTAGGGTGCGTTACCTATTAAATGGTACACTGGAAGGATGAATTCTTTTGTTTTGCTTGTTTTTTGTCTTTTTTTTTTTTGTTTTTTTGTTTTTTTGGTTTTTTGTCTGTTTGAGACAGGGTCTGACTATGCAGTTCAGGCTGGCCTTGAGCTCACTTCGTATCCCAGGCTGCTCTCAAACTTGCAATGATCCTCCTGCCTCAGCTTCCTGAGTGCTGGGATTGCAGGTGTGCACCACCAAGCCTGGCAGGATGAATTCTTTTGATAGCAGCTCCTGGCCATTCTGTGTGGTCTGGGAGTCACTTGTGTGTGCATCTTGTCAGAAGTCACCTTGTCAGGTGTCTGTCATGGTAATTAACTACCACCACCCCCCCCCGCCTCTAGGACAGCCCCATCGCCACCCAAGGTCCCACATAGACAGCCTCACACTGTTTCTGGCCCACAGCAGTGAGGCTGACCCTCTCAACCCATGCAAAGATTGATTTGCCACACAGATTCCATCCATCAGTGTCCCAGGGTCCATCTCCAAAGGCGGCGACAAATCACCAACTCTGAGTGCATCTCTGGAAGGGCTCCTGGGTGACAGTGTCCTCTGAGACTCTGAGTCTTTTCAAACCTTTGCCATTGGATTGGCTGCCGAGCCAGGGACAGCCCAATGTAAACAGGGTTGAGTGGGAGGGGACAGGACTGAGGTAATACAGGGTTGCAGAGATGGAAATGGAATTAGAGGAAGGGACAAAGCATCCGAGAAACCAGAATGAGAGACCACTGTGGAAAAGTGAGGCTCACCTCCCGCAGCTTTTCCTGGGCCTCAGCAAGGGCTGCTTGCTTCTCCTGAAGCTGGGCCAGGGCAGCATTCATTCGAATGCGCTTGGGCTCCACCACCCGATACAGGCGCCCATAGAGCTGTGGGGACAGGCTCCGTCAACCACCCAGGCACTCATGGGTGGGGGAAGCCTCCCCTCCCACCTGGCTCTGCTCCCCCAACTCTCTCCCGCCTGCCTCACTGCCCCACCCAGCCCCAGCACGGCTTACCTCCATGGCCCGCACCCACATGCAGAGGGACTTGGCAGCTAGGGAGACACGGCCTATGATATCAGGCTGGAAGTCAGGCTGGGCACAGTAGGCCCCGATCTTCTTCAGCACCTTATCCGAGATGTTATCTTTATCAAAGTGGATTAGGGACTTGATGAAGTTCTGTTCCCCTGCAGGATGACAATTACAGGCCTCAGGCAGAGGACGAATCCCATACTCCTTGTCCAGGTTCACTGCCAAAAATTGCTTTCTGCCGCATATTTCCTGGGCTTAGTTCCCAAGGCCAAGACATAAGACCTCACCCTTACTTCCACCCTCTGACCTTGTTTCCTTTCCTAGGGACTTCTTATCCCTAGGCGCCCACAACCTCCCGGCGTGTTTTCTATTGCTCACCTTCAACACTGCATCAAATCACACTGCTCACCGTTCTCTCCACCTGCTTCACACTCTTCCAGGGCAGGGCTGCCAAACTACGGCTCGCAGGCTATGTCCTCCCACGGGAGCCCAACACAGAGAAAAACACACAGTGGAAAGGGCCCTGTTTCCCATTTTTGGATTCTTGTCTTTGGGGGGGCCCTGAAGGCATTCCTGCCCTTATAGATTCCTGTACCTTTACCACAATTCTCTCTTCTTATATAAAGATGAACCGTTTCTGTCACAACTGAAGACTCCTAACTGATGTATTCACCTCCTCCTTCCCCTCCGCTCCATGCTCTGAGGGTCAGTACAATGCCTCATTCATCCCAGTCTCCCTGAATGTCTGACGCACAGAGCTGATCCACGGGCACTGTGTGAGAGGACAGTCCCCCGTGTGGTTCTCTGGCTTACCGAGCTGCCGCTTGGCCTCTGCCCACGTGGGCTCATTGCCCCGAAGAATCATGACTGCCTGCATCACCATCTCCACCTGGGCAGGGGGCCGTCCGTAAGACTTGATCTCACCAATATCCTTCTTGTTCAGTGACTCCAGGGCCTGGGAGAAGGGTTACCTCGAGTGGTCTGATGGGCATGTACCTCTTCCTCTTCCCACTTCCCCGAGGACAAAGAAGGCCAGCCCCGTTCCTGCTGCCGGCACCCATCCTGGCACCCATCCTGGCACCCGCCCCTGGTACCCGCATGGCCTCTTCCAGAGCAGGCAAAGCCTCTTCTAGATCCTTTTGGGCATTGTCAGCCAGGGCCTGACACTTGACTTCCTCAATGGCAATCTTCTCGCTGTTGGCTGTTACTGCCTAAGGATGAAAAGAGAACAAGGCCTTGGACAAAGGTGGAATGTGGGGGCTGGTGAGCAGGACAAAAGAGAAAGTGAAGGGAAATTTGAGGAGTGGAATAAGCACCTCTGATACAGTCACTCAGGGACCAGGAAACCTCTTGGGGGTGGAGGGAGGTGGGGGCCAGAAGGAGTAGGGTGTAAGGGGCGGGGCTGGTGACCTTCTGCTGTTCATCTGCTTCCCGCTTCTGCTGCACGATGATGACCAGGTACTCCTCGCACTGTTTCTGAAACTCAGCCACCTTTTTCTTGGCATCCTCCAGCTCCAAGGACATCACTTCCACCTTTTCCCTCGTTTCATCAATTTTAAACAATCCTGTCCGCAGCTTATTGGCTTGGTCCAGCAGTTCCTGCCGTTTTTCTCCCAGCAGCCTGAGGGGCAGAGTAGGTAAGGTGCACAGAGAGGCTGGGCTCCCTGGAAGAGGGTGTCCTACATAATCTCCCTTCCCTGGTTACCTCGTCAGTCCTTGTCTTCCTTTCTGTGGCCATCTCCTATTTATACCCCTCTGGTCATTTTGTTGTTCTGTTTTGTTTGATAGTACTGGTGATTGAACCCAGGACCTTCACATAAGCTAAATCACCAGCCCTTTTATTATTTTTTATTTTGAGACAAGGTCTAAGTGCAAGAGTTGCCCAAGCTGGGCTCAAACTTCCTCAGCCTCCTGCCTATCTTCCTGCCTCAGCCTCCCAGAGTGATGGGATTACAGGCTTGTGCTATACCATGTCTGGTTTGACACTCAATAATTTATAAATATATCATGGGAATTGTGATATGCTACTGATATGATTTACAATAAATATATACTTGGTCCTTGTGGTACACAGCTCCTAAAACCTTTGGAATCTCCAAAGTGACAAAACACAGTGGTGCCTTCATTCAAGAACACTTCCGTTTGCGAACAATTTGGTTTGCGAACAGAAGCATTTGGCAAAATTTTGCTGTTGTTTATGAACTCTGCATCGGGTGATGGACACGACTGCAGCCATCTTTCACACGTGAAGACAAACGTGACCACCCTTTCCAGAACTGCAGAACGAATTAAGTTCGTGAACTGAGGTACTGCGGCATCTGTTTGCAGGTGAGCTGACTTGGGGCTGGGGGCTCCTGAATAGACGAATCAAACCTGTGATTGGAGGATTGGAACTTTCAGCCCCATCACACCCCCACTTCTTGGTGTAGAGAGGCTGAAGCCGGAGCTGATCACCAATGGCTAATGAGCTAATCCTGTCTACTTAATGAAGCCTCTTTAAAAACCCAAAAGGACAGAGAGCTTTTCGGGTTGGGGAACATCCACCTACAAGTCCCAACTCCACAGCTACAGAAGCCCTTGTGCTTAGGACTCTTGCTCATTTGTATCCTTTGTAATAAACTGGCAACCATAAGCAAATGTTTCCCTAGTTCTATGAGCTACTCCAGCAAATTAACTAAACCCAGGGGGTGGTCATAGGCACCCTCAACTTGTAGCCCGTTGGTCAGAAGCACAGGTAAAAAAAACAACCTGGGGCTTGAAACTGGCATCTGAAGTGGGAGCAGCTTATGGTTTGAGCCCTTAGCCTTGGGATCTGATTATAACTCCTGGAAGATAGTGTCAGGATTGAGCTAATTATAAGACACTCAGTTACTGTCCGCTAGAAAACTGCTTGGTGCGTAGGGTCCCACCCCACCCCCAAACTGCGTCAAGAACTGTGTTAAGTGTGAGAGTAGGGAAAACACTTTTTTTTCTATTGCATAAAGGTGACAAGCTTAGATGATAATAAAGGCATTCAGGAAAATGCTGGGTATGTTACACCAACATCCCAGTTGTATTATTATCTGAAAAAGACAGAGAAACATGGTCCAGAAAATGGGGACAGAGAGCATGTGGACAGGGATGGGAGCCCAGGGAATACGGCTGGGGACTCCTCCTACCAGAAGCCCCATTCCTCACTCGTTAACTTCCAGAGAAGAACTAAGAGCCTCCTCATCTCTGCCATCCCACCTCAGCACCCAGGTCCCCAAGTCTGTCCTCTCCTGTAGCTCCCGGATATTTTCCATGACATTATTTTACCAAGTGTCCTTACAAGACACCAACCTCCCTGGCCCTCCACACGCCCTGCTCTTTTTCATACTTCTTATATCCAGACACGAGTTCCAGGTAGTTGGTCGGTGTGACGTAGTTGTATCTTCGAAGCTCCAGCAGCATCTTCTGGGAATACTGAGCCACTGACCAGTGCATGGTGACAAAGATCTGGGCCACTTTCTTGTGGATCTGAGGCCAGTAATACAGAATGGAAGACAAGGGATATGGAGGAGGAAGTGAGAGGGAGGTCAGGGGTGTGATGAGAGTGGGGAGGAAGAGCTCACATTCTCCTGAGTCCCCAGGTCCACGCCCACGAGGTACTTCTCAGCCACTTCCAGCAGGGCCTCACGGGGCCACTCTGAGAACCAGTTGATGGTTGTGCAGTTCACCAAGGCTGGGTACTGGCGGATCCAGTTCCTGGGGAGGAGTTTGGAGAGGCAGTGAAGCCATGCACAATGAGGCCTCCAGCCCTGGGCCTCGCGAACGTCATGCGTTTGTCCCCCTGCTTTCTGGAACCCTAAATGTCCCTTCCTTTTGCTCCCTGTATCTGCTCATCCAGATTCAGCCCCCTCAGAGCTAGCTCAAGGTAGCACTTAGACGCATAGTCAGGGGTCAGAAAGGCCTGGATCCATACTTTCTAGGTGTGGCTCTTGGGCAAGTATCTAACCTCTGTGAACATCAGTTTCCTCCTGTCTGGAAGGGGACTAACTAGTCATGCTAAGGTTGCCGGGGGAGTCCGTGAGATAACCCATGTAAAATGCTTGGCACAGCAGCTGGCGCATGGTAAATACCCCACACTCCGTAGTACTAAAAAAAAAAAATACTTGGTGTAGTTGTTTCTCTACACACATGTAATCTCTTTCTAGTTTTTGATGCCCTTAAAAATCCAGTCATACCAAGGATGAGTAAAGAAAATGTGGTGTTATGTATTACAGAGTATTATTCAGCCTTTAAAAGAGAAGGAAATCACGTCACATGCTACAACGTGGATGAGCCCTCAAGGGCATGATGGTAAGTGAAATGTAAATTAGAAAAAGACAAAAACTGTACAATTACACTTATGCAGGGTTTTCAATAGTCAAACTCAGAGACAGAAGGAGAATGGTGGTTTCCTGGAGCCAGAGAGGCAAAGATGAGCAGTTATAATTAGTGGGTATAGAATTTTGGTTTGAGAAAATAAGAAAGTTCTAGAAGCTCTTGCACAACAGTGCGGATATACTGAACACTACCCAACTGTACACCAAAAAAGGTTCAGGTGAGAAAGTTTATGCTCTCTGTGTGGGTTTTTATTTCATTTTATTTTTGGTATTGGGGATTGAATCCGAGGCCTTCACACTGAGTTACATTCCCAGCCCTTTTTAAATATTTTATTTTGAGACAGAGCCTTGCTAAGTTGTCCAGGCTGGCCCCAAACTTGTGATCTTCCTGAGTCAGCCTTCCTGGTAGCTGGGATTCTAGGCATGTACTGGCATATTCGGCTGTGTGTGTGTGTGTGTGTGTGTGTGTGTATCATGATGAAGATTTAAAACAACAAAAACATCATCATCCAAAAGAAAAAAATCGATGGCACTGTGGCTCATGCTTGTAATCCCAGCACTTGGGAAGCTGAGGCAGGAGGATCGTTGCGAGTTTGAGGCCAGCCTGGGCTACAAAGTAAGCTCAAGGCCAGCCTGAACTGCATAGCGAGACCCTGTCCCAAAAAGACAAACAAACAAAAAAAATCAAGTCACACCAACAGAGATGGATGACTGCCATTTTGGCCACAGGGATTTCTTGAAGGAAGGTGCAGTTTGTGGGAAGAAGATAGGGTGAGCCAGGTGGGAGGGTTGTTATTCATGACACTAATTTCCAGAAGGCATAGAAGGCCACAAGATGGGAAAGACTGGATGAGGAGTGCTAAGGCCCCCTAGGAATAAGCGTAGGTAGATGAGTCACCTGAAGGGGTCCCCCACAGGGCTGAGGCAGAGCACGATGTGCAGGTTGTTCCGCACGCGCTCAATCAGGTAGGTGAAGAGGCTGTCTGAGGATTCAGGCACCTGCTCAGCCCGGGCCTGCTCTATGATGAGCGTCTGGATCTGGACAAAAGCCACACAGGGTCAGGGTTAAAAGCAGCCCTGCCCAGTAGGATCCCCGATGGCTGAAGAGAAACAGCCTTGCAGTCTTACAGGGTGGGTGAGATGGATGGTGGGGTGCTACAGAAGCAGATTCTGGGACTCTGTGCATCTTCGTGGGGGGTGACTTAGGAACGCCCCAAAGCCAACCGGCTCATGAGCAGGTGTGGGAGAAGGTATACCTCTTCAAATTCCTCAGCCTTATAGAGATTAGGGACCTCGCCTGAGCTGAGGATGTTGTTGATATCCTCTAGGAAGGATTCGTCAGCGATCTGGGTGTCCACGAAAAGGAAGGACGTGGTCTTGAGCTCTACGCCAGCCTGGCGATAGAGACGCTTGATATCTGCCTCGTGAGGGACGGAGACGAGGAGAGAGAGCAGACTCGCTTTTGATTCCCTGTCCTGCCCTTCAGTCCACTTTGGACATTCAGGAGCCTCTCCATAGCACACAGACCACACCACCTCACTCCCCGACGCGCAGGCCGGCACAGCGTACGATCTGCCTCCCCTCGCTCCCTCTTCATTAAAGGAGCTCAGCCATTTCATCCTTCATTCACTCCGAGCATGCCAGCATACCGTCTCGAAACTCCTGCTTCCGATAGTGTTTGGTGACCTCGATCTGGAAGGTGTCGTACTCGCAGATGGATGAGGCCAGGCGGGCCAGGCTCTGGCGTCCACTGCCCCCAATGCCCACCAAGAGCATGTTGCCCCGTGGCTGTCCGATCACCCGAACGATCCGTGTGACTGGAGACCGGGTGAGGATAATAAATTGGCTAAGCAAACTCAAAGGACCTCCAGGCCCTCAGCTAGGGATGGAGACCCCTGGATGTGGTCGTAAAGGAGCCAGTAGGTTTGGAAAGAGCTTGGCTGGTGCCTGAGTCCCTGAAAGCAATTCAGCCTTTCGCTTCACCCCGTCTATTAAACAGCCACTGCCCCGAAGGGGTCTGGGGCAAGAAGAAAGGCAATTTCCACACTTGATTTGGGAGAGGGTTGGGAAGGGAAACCTTTTTCCTTGGAAATGCTGCGTAATGGGCCGAAGGGGAGGGGCAGGGAGTGGCCAGCGCTCACTGTGTTCAATGGCCTCTCGGAAGAGCACCAGCTTCATTGGCACCACAGAGGGAGACAGGTTGTACTCATTTAGGGCCGTCTCTATGGCTGTCTTCAGTACCGTCAGATCTGTCAGGTCCTCATAAACCTTGGGCTCCTTCAGGAAGTCCCCTGGGCCATGGTAGGAGGGCATGAAGTCTCCAATGCCTGGTCCTCCCCAGAGCTTCCCTCAGGGCCCTCAGCAGCAGGGCTCCAGGCCCTGGCCCTCCCTCTACCCTCAGCCTCCCCAGGGTCACAGACTCACCGAAGATAGGAGGACGTTTGTTTGGACAGAGGTTATGAAATGTGAGGTCGAAGAAGGAGCCAAGTTTATCGCTTATGATGCCCACAAAGGCTTCCATGTCTGTTGCATCCACCAGTCGGTCAGAGAAGACTCTGTTGGGAGACAGTTGGGGTGAGATCTGGACTGAGGAGTAGAACAGCCCTGGGGAAGGAAGGCGAAGCTTGGAAGCAGGGCTGAGGGAGGCTGACATTGTCCAGGGCACATGTGCACTTGTCACCTGAAGCACTCGTGGATCCAGAGTCGGGTGATGCTGGCCTTGGTATCATGGAAGTCCTTATTGGCTCTGAGCATGCCCTGGAAGACCTGGGGAAGAGAAGTGATGACCGAGGTGGAGAGAGGAAAGAGGCTCCCCCCGGAGGTTTTGGAGTAAGGGCAGAGAAAGTGACGTTTTAGGACAGGGTGACTTTTGGTGTGCTGTTTGCTATGGCTAGGCTTAGGTTTGCTACGGCTAAGGCTTGTTTTGAAAAGAAGTGAACGGCTCCGAGGAGGCTGGGCCAGGCAAAAGGGCAAGGTCACACGGTGCTCACCTTGGAGATGTCACGAAGGTTGAAGAGGTAATGGATCTTGGCAGGTGTAGGCAGGAAGCGCTGCACCACTGTATTATACACATCCAAGGTGGCCTCTGTCACCACGTTCCCAATAGGCTTCACCTCTTCTTCAAAGTCCTGAAGCTTCTGATTGATCATGGCACCAAATATGCGAATGATCTGGGACTCCTAGAAAGAGACCTCAGACTCACTTTCCAAGGCTCCCAGCCTTGTAGCCAGGGTAAGAATCAGGATGAGGCAAATTCAGAGTTTGCCTCGCAGCAGAATTTAAGGGGGCAGGGAAGGGGTGGAGGAGAAATACAGGTGAGGAGGGGAGGGACAAGGAGGGAGGGAGAAAAAGAAGAAATGTGTGTGTGTGTGTGTGTGTGTGTGTGTGTGTGTGTGTGTTATGGGGGATTGAGTTCAGGGGCTCAGAAATGCTAGGCAAGTGCTCTACCATTAAGATACATCCCCCCAGCCCTTTAAAAAAAAATTTTTTTTTAGATAGTCTCACTAAGTTGCCCCAGCTAGCCTTGAACTATAATCTTTCTTCCTTGGCCTCCCAAGTACTAAGATTATAAGTACACATCCCTTACATCCTGCTTAATTTTAACTTTTTAAAAGCATTTCATAAGTTCTGTACCTGGGGGAGGGCCTCACTTATCTCACCCTAATTCTGGCACTGCTTTGGCTCCTGGCTTTGCAGGCCCTACCCTCCTGAGTCTGTTTGGGCCCCACCTCATTCTCTGCCCACATTCCAGAGCCAGCAAGCCATGACTTCCATCCTTTGCTCTCCTGGTTCAGGAGGCCGGCAAGGGCTTCTACAGCACGTGCCACAGCTCCCTGCAGGTGACTCTGCTCAGGGTCCCTTAGCCCTCTCCATGATCTGGCCCCTGTTTCTCAACGACAGGGATGGTTTTGTCTTGTTCAGCCCCCTCCTAACAGTCCCCACCGCAGCCTCACTGTGGGGAAGGTCATGTTGATGAGGTTGAAGCGACTCTGTAGCCTCGGGGAGATGACAGTCCGTCCGCCCCCAGCAGGACCCATGGCAGCCATCAGGAACATGTCCTGGAGAGCGAAGACAGAGTGGGCAGGGAGTCAGGTGGGAGGAGGGGATGACTGGAGGCACAGGATAGGGATGATGCTTCAAAATCGCTGGGATAGAGGCTTCTGAATGTTCCTAACACAAATCACAAACAAGTGTTTGAGGTAAAGGATAGGCCAGTTATCCTGACCTGGTAATCAGTAAACCCTGCATAAGTATAATGTTTTATCACACCGTATGCTATATACATGGACAATTATCTACTTTTTTTTTTATTTTTTTGTGACAGGGTCTTGCTATGCAGTTCAGGCTGGTCTTGAGCTCACTTTGTAGCCAAGGCTGGTCATGAACTTACAACAATCCTCCTGTCTCAGCCTCCCAAGTGCTGGGATTACAGGCAGGCACCACCACGCCCGGCCTTACATGGACAATTATTGTGTGTCAATTAAATTTTTTAAAATTTAAACAATGACAAAAGGTAACAGAGTGGGTGTAAAAGAAGCAGGGAGGAAGGCAGTAAGTGGAAGGTCAGATGGGGAGGGGGACAGGGACAGGGTGAGAAGAGAGAAACACGAGTAATGCAGGGAAAAAGATGAAGAGAAGGAAATGACTAGGGAGGGTTTTTTTTTAGAATTATCAAAGTAATGTATTTGCCTTTATTCCATTGTTTTAACTGCCATACCCAAGTTAGAAAATTCAGGGAAGTTAAATAACACGTTTATTAAATTGTATGTATCCAGTGCACGTGTGTGTGCATGAACTCTCTTCGAAGTTTACGAATTGATTTTTAGGCTGTTTTTGACCCTGGATGCCAGAGAGATGGGCATTCAGAAATCAGGCCAGAATGGCCACTGCCCATTCACTAAAGAAAGAGAAACAAAAAAGATGCTTAGATCCTGTGGGAGAAAAGCCAGACTGAAGGGAGATGCCTGGGCTGTGGGCGGGGAGCGAGAACCGAGAGCACAGAGGCCATATGAGAGGCAGAGTGGGTCTGGAGGAGTGGAGCTGGGACCTGGGCTCCAAGTCAGTTCTGGGGGCGGAGCAGGACAGCACGTGTGCATGGTATGACATGACAGGTCTGGGCATGGAGTGGTAGTTGGAGGACAGGAACTTTTGGTTGCAAATTGTAGAGCAGGGTCATGAGGAGAGTTAACAGGGGCCGTAACTTAGGAGCCAGATGTCTGGCCTCTCCTGCAGGAAGGAGTTGTAGGACTAGAGCCTCGAGTCCCAGTGGAGTGGGTGCTGAGCCACACTAGGAAGGGACAAAGGCCCAAGAACAAACCCTCAGAATGCTTACTCGAATGTACTTGATGGTCTGCTTCGTACGATCATACCAGAAGCCATAGTCAATCCAGAGGCGGATCAGCTCCAGGGGTGGCTGGGATCCAAACATGTCCTTAGCGGGCATATTTAGCTCATCCATAAAGGTGATCATGCTTTTGCCTCCAAAGGGCACGTAGACGCCCTTGGTTCGCTTCTCCACCCTGCTCTCTATGATGCTCTGTACATTGTTGGATGTGGTCTGGTAGAAAAAGCACAAAATGGATTCTTGGGTCATCATGAGAAATATGGGGTCACAGAGGAGCATTAGCCACACACTTGGCTCCCAAGAGTGAGCAGAAGGGAGGGCTGGGGAACCGGCGGTCTGTCTCCTGGGCCTGAACGCACCTGTGCGGACATGTTGACAGTGAGCACCGACCACTGGCTGGAGGGCAAGGACTGCAGAACACTCTGTGCTATGGAGGTCTTTCCAGTCCCCACAGGGCCCACCAGCAGGACGGGGTTGTGGCTGGCCACCAAGGTGTTCACCAGGTATTTGTAGCGCACAGTGTCCACAGTGGGCACCATGATCTTATAGAAGGGGGTGCTAGTGAAGAAAAGGGAACTGCGTCTCAGGGTCATGGGCCCCCTTCTTCCCAGCTCCCACTTCCTTCTTCCTTCCAGTGTTTGTTGTCCTCCAGTGCCACGACTGTCTACCACCAACTCTGCTTCCTGTGGGGCCTGGGGCTGGGGAAGGACCCTGTCCTCTAGATCCTGTACCCAAGAGTCATCTCTTCTCTGGGATCCCCCTTCTCCTTTTATAGCTGGTTGTTGCTTTCAGGCCCCATCCCACTTATCCCATCTCTCACCAACCACAGCCCCAAGTCCTATGTGTACCCCAGAACCTGCTCTCACTTTGGAGCATAACGCCAACTCTTAGAGAGCTTCTCCTCAAATGATGTCCAACTCCGCATCTTGGGATCCACAAAATATTCATACACTGTGTCCTAAGGAGGGCAGTGTTGGTTACCAAAGCCTTCTTCTAGCTCTCCCCAGCCAGAGGGGCTCACAGACCACCAGGGACAAGAAAGAGAGCTGGGAAGCCAAGCGTGGGGATGCACGCCTATAATCCCAGCATTCGGGAGGCTGAGGCAGGAGGATCGTTGTGAGTTCGAGGCCACTCTGGGCTACAAAGTGAGCTCAAGGCCAGCCTGAACTGTATAATGAGACCCCGTCTCAAAAAAGACAAAAAGAAAAAAAAAAAAGAAAGAAAGAGCTGGGTCAGCAGGAAGAAGCTCAGGTGGAAGCTGAGGATCTGGGATACCGTGGGTTCTAGAAAAATAGGACAAATGAGCTGGTTTTGAGGGCCCTGACCTTATTGGGAAAGGAACCCTCGATTTCACGCAGGTAACTGTCAATCTTCTTGCGGCCATCCTCATCCACAGAGGCGCACACAGACCAGATCATGCTGAACACAAATGTCATCTCTACCATAGTTGTATAGTTTTCACCATCAGCTGGGTTCACCTGGGTGAAAGAAGAGGACATACCTATAGGGGACGGAGGGACCTGCTTTATCAGGCCAGCCCAAAGGCTTACAGCCTTCCTCCTTTGCTGGTTCTGTTGGGAAAACCACATGGACATCCCCCAATTGTGCATGTTTATCTACAACCTACAGAAGACTTTAGATAAGCACGGAGCACCTTGTTGCTCAACAGTTGACCTTAGCTTCCTTTCTGCTAAGTCTTACGACACAGCTGTCATCTGCCGGTATGAGGCCTGCCCTGGAGAAGTACCCATGGTTATTTAAGGAGACAAGTCCAGGGATGTTTGTGTTGACTTGTTTGTAATTGCAAAAAAATTAGAGATGTCCTAAACATCCACCAGTAGAGGAATGGAAAAAATAAAATGTAAGGTTCTACTGTAGAATAAATAGTACACAGCTATTAATGCAATGATATAAATCTGGCAATACAAAACAATACAAAATTCAAAGCAATAAAAACTTCAAAAATATACTGTTGGTTTAACAAGCATATTATATTAACATATTCTATGTTTTTTTTTTCTTTTTTTGATACAGGGGCTCACTGTGTACTACAGGCTGGCCTTGAACTTGCTTATGTAGCCCAGGCTGCCCTCAAACTCACGGAGATCTTCCTGCTTCAGCCTCCCAAGTGCACCACCACACCTGATTCCCATAGTCTATTTTCTAAACACCACATTTTCTATGGGCACCTACAGACTTGTGTGTAAATACACATTTTTTAAACTGGTCTGGATGACACATGAACACACCATAATAGTTACTCTTGTAGAGGAGGGAGAATCCCAGGATCGCAAGGCAGAAGGAGAACAAAAAGAACTTGAGCTTTACATGAAAAAATTTAATTTTAGAAAGAAAATAAGATCCAATGATTACTTACATAAGTAAAAATTAAGTTTTAAAATATACCTGTTTTAATAGTGGGCACAGCGTATTTGGAGCTCGCGCTCTCAACCTCTGTCCAGGGGCACAAGGAAGATCTGTTCTGGGAGGGTGCAAGGAGCCTCCCTGGGGAGAACAGCTGCGCAGCAGCAATCTCAGCACCCTTCCCACCACCCCTGGCCATCCACGGGAAGCAGCTACGGGCTTGCGAGTGGGATCTCTTGACAATAGGATCTGCATGAACTACAGATAATGTTATATACAGGATGTGTCCAATGCAGAATGCTGGACATGGTCTTAGAATAATCCTCAATCCTCAAAATGTAGGTGGGAAAGTATGGTGAGAATCTACGTCTTCCTATATCCAATCAAGAATCCTTTTTGGGTCTGTCTTTCCAGGCCCACCTCCCTCATGGTCAGGTCTTCTCCCCATGCAGACAGCACACAGACAGCACCCAGACAGCACCCAGACAGCATCTTGCCATCCCTGAGCCACTCCCTGCCCCGCCATTTGCCCGTCCCACCTCCCCACCGCCCACCATGCCTGGCTGAGCAGAATCGGAGTCCTGCGGAACTGTTTGCACTAAGGCTGTTTTTCCCACCTGCTCTCCAGGAGGTGTCCGCTCCCAAGGAGCCCCTCAGCACCTACGTCCTATCCACACAGTACAACTCTGCTCTTCCCATGCCTTACCTTGCAATCCATCCACATATTTTAATTTACATTAACCATACAAGGAATGACTTATACTGCTATAGATCTTAATTGTTGGGTTTGGTTAACTGGCAGTGTCTTTAAAAACAATCTTGTAATTGCTGGAGATATAGCTCAGAGGTAGCATACTTGCCTAAGCATGCATGAGGCTCTAGGTTTGGTCTCCAACACTACAAAATAAACAAACAATTACAAACCATTTCCAGGCAGCAATATAATCTTAGAATAACACTCTTTTTTTTGTACCTGGAATCAAACTTAGGACCTTGCGCTTGCCAAGCAGGCGCTTGTGCCACTGAACTATATCCCCAGCGCTAATACTGATGCAAAATACCAAAATTTGACCCTTACTCTATGATTCTAAACCGAACAAAATCTTTCTAACTATCAGTTAATCTGAAGTTTTCTAAACTTCCTCATTAGATTAGGCTGGGAGTTTTCCCAAAAAAAAAATGGTATTTCAGGGCCTCACATATACCAAAAATTAATATTCATATTTTGAAAAGATGAAGGAAATGAGGAACTGAAAAAACTACCCTCAGCCCCCAGAATATGGGGGGAAACTATACTGAGTTCTGGTATGTATGTATGTATGTAGTATGTACAGTGCTGAGGATGGAACCTGGGGCCTCTCACATATTAGAGCATGAGCTATGCCCCAGCCTTCAACCTGTTCTACTTACAATCCTTAGTCTGGGCTTCTAGCCCAGCACATGAGTACAACACACACACACACACACAGCTCCCTGCCTCGAAGGTCACTGTGGAGGCTTCCCCTTAGAATCTCAGCTCCACTCAAGCCTGGCGTTCAAACTAACGTGGTCCTGTGCAGTTGAGAACGCTTATCTCCTGCCCCTGCCTTGGCCTGGGCCTCCTCCTTACCCCATTCTCCGGCGTGGCTAGGGCCGAGTACAGCTTGCAGAGGGACATGATGCCGCTGTATTCAGGGAGGGGCACCAGCTCGTTGCAGTTGTCTTTCTTAAAGGCCAAGATCTTGCTGATGAGCTTTTCAAACATGCGTTGGAGGGGCTCTACCTCACCCTAGAGGTAAACGAGAAAGAGTTCTTTGCTCATTTGCTTTTGTGTGCCGTAGACCTCCTGGGCAGTCTCTCCTCAATTCCATCATACCTTTGGCCTCTTCTCTAGCCAGGACTGAACATAGGGCTTCCACCCCAGGTCAACATAGTCCGTGTAGACCATCCCGCAGCGCGAGACAGTGGCTGGAGAGGCCACTGCCAGGTTCTCCACTTCAAACAGGAGAGACACCTGAGGATATATTTTCGTCAGAACCTCATCTCCCACTGCCCCCCGCCAGTAGTAATAAAACACCCCAGGACTCTGATGCCAAAAGGGGATGTCTTATCAAGCACAAAGTGTGGCAAGAAGAAGAAGGATTTGAGGTTTATAAATAGTTTGCTCGCTGAAAGAAATCAGAGCCTATTCAAGGTTATCCTTAGGAGAAATCACTATCTGGCCACTGCTGTGGAAAATGGGTCTGAGGTAAGATGGCTCATGAACTCCTAATATGGGTACTATACAAAGTTCTTTTCTGCATAATTAATTGTTCCCAATATCCACGATGGGCAAAGCTATATTTTTCTTCTTTTCTTCTCTCCTCTCCGCTCCCCTCTCCTCTCCTTTCCTTTCTCTTTTTTTCTTTCGTGTGTGTGTGTGTGTGTGTGTGTGTGTGTGTGTGTGTGTGTGTTGCTGGAGTTGGAACCCAGGGCCTCACCATGCTGGGCAAGTGCACTGAGCTCGACCTGTACCCCTGCCTAGGTCAGGCATTCTTTCTCAGTTGCAACCCTCACTGAATTCTGAACACCCTTCCCAGCTCTGTCTTATAGAACTTACTCTTCTCTGAGGATCAGGGTCTTCTCCCGACCCGTCCTCACGCCCTCCGCTGCCTCCTGCAGGGCCCCAGGTAGCATGCACTTCCCCGCACCTGCTCAGGCATCGAGATGCGCTCTCCATTGATCAGGGTCAGCACTTTGTTGTCGTCCATGACAGAATTCATGCTTTCAATCCACAGTGTGTCCACGGGGCCATCAAAAAGGATCCATTTCTCATCGGGTTTCTCATCTTAGTAGCAGGTAAGTGATAAGAAGACCAGGAGAGTTCTCCCCTGGCCCTCCCACCCCACTCTCACTCCTCACTCCCGGTACTTCTGCATTCCCCGGCATCTCTCCCACAGGGCAGCTTCCTGTCCCCAGACTCTCGGCCCCCACCGGTCCTCCAGACTCCCCACTCCCATTCAGATATTTGGGTACCTGCTCCCCTGCCCCGCCCCTTAGATACCTGCACATGCCACTCGCATGATGCTGGACAAAATGCCATCTGTCCATTCATTAGTGTTGAGGTCATATTCCCCGTATAGCTCCCCTAGGGACAGTGCCTTAGGGTTCAACGGGAATTCCTGAAAATGATAGCAGAAGGGGTTTTAGAGCTGCTGGTAGACAAACTTGCCAGAGCCCCCTTTTATTCAGCCCCTAGTCTCTCTCGTCTCTTCTGGGCCTTGTTGGACCTGGCAGGGGCCTGGGAGGGGGCGGGAGGGCCCCCCACCTGCCCATTCTTGCCCCCAACTTCCACTTCCTTCCTGCTACTCCAGTCTGCACCAGTGACTCCACTGTCCCCAGTGCGTACCCTAACAATGTTGAAGTTGGGCTCCCCCGCGCGGCACAGGGAGGACGAGGAGGCCTGCAGGATGCGCCAGGAGGTCGTCTTGCCGCTGCCTGTGCTGCCCACGATCATGGTAGAGTGGCGAGAGTTCTTGGTCTCATACAACTGGAAAACCTTGGTGAGGGTGAATGGTGTGCACTGCAAGCCTCTCTCTCGAATCTCCTGCTCAACAGTCTCCTGTAGCTGAGGGAAGAAAGATCCAGGAAGTGGAAAAAACAGCATGAGGTCCCCACAGGACTTTCCGAACCCCCTCAGTGCCGAGGAAGATATGTCCAAACGGTTAAAAATAACACTAGAGCCCTTTACACTCTGGCACTTGTTCATTTAGGGGGAAGCTGGCTATCACAGTAAGAGACTGGGCTTTGGAGTCAGCCAGCCTGGTTCCTCAGCTTTCAGCCATGTGATCTGCAGTAAATTACCTCTCCCAGCCTCAGTTTCCTCCTGTGCACAATGTCTGACATGTAGCTCCACATATTTTGTCTATTATTCAACAAATATTTATTAAGTCTCTGTGGTATGTAGGAAGCATTTGCTGGGTGCTACAGGGATACAGCTGGAAACAGAATAGATTGCAGAGCTCACAATTTAGTGGGAGAACTGGATTTTTTTTCCACCAGTGCTGGAGACTAGACCCAGGGTCTCACACATGCTAGGCAAGTGCTCTATCATTGAGCTGCGCCTCCCGTCATAATTTTATCAACACTATCATCCAAGTTAAAAAGTAATGCTTATAGAATCTGACCCACCTGGGATAGTTCCAGATAGTGTGACACTTTTAAACACACAGCGCATGCACCCAAATAATTTCAAGTAGATGCAAGATCTTTGTAGTAATTTTCAAATACCACTTTAAAAGGCCTCACCAATATTATTTCCTTCCACTATCTGAGAATTAGTTTTATTGGTATTTGTGTGTGGGGGGGGGAGGGGGTATTTAGTGTCATATCACAAATTTAATGACACACTTTTTTATTTATTTATTCAGTTGCTCTCTAATTTCATCTTTGACCTAGGAGTTATTTAGAATTTCACTGCCTAATTTCCAAACATCTGTGCTTTTTCTCATTAAATTTTATTACTAATCTCTACTGTTTAATTCTATTGTGGTTGAAGATCATCCTCTGTACAATTTCAATCATTTGAAATTTATGAGTCTTACACTTAATAGCTTAGAATATAATCAATTTTGGTAAACATTCCATGTACATTTGAGATGAATATATATCTACAACTGTCGATTAGAATGTTCTATATGTATCAGCTCAAACCTGTTAAAAGCATTCAAATCTATATTTATGAATTTTTAATCAGTTTTATTAATTTCCAAGAGAATTACCAAGATCTCCCACTAGGATTATAAATTTAGTTTTGTCCATTGTGTTTTATAGGTTTTGTAGCTATATTAGTTAATGCACACAAATTTAGAATTGGTTCATACATGTGTGGACACTTTCATTTTGGAAACACACCCTTCAGCTCTGGGGATGCTTCTTGAATTGTCTCAGTATTGGTCCCTCCCTTTTTTTTTGTTTCTACTTTTGGCACTCCTGTTATTTGGATACTATGTGTCCTAGATTGTCTTTTGGATCTTCTCTCATTCCCAGGCTGTCTACTCTGTTCCCAGGAGTAGTTGTCAGCCTGAGTCATCTGCCCCCCTCCCCCCATCCTGTACTGGGAACTGAATCAAGAGGCTTCACATTGAACTACACCCCAACTCCTTTTCCTCCCTACTTCCCTCCCTCCATCCATCCCTCCATCCCTCCATCTCTCTCTCTCTATTTCTTTCTTTCTTTCTTCTTTGTTCTTTCTTTCTTTGTTTGTTTCTTTCTTTCTAGACAGGGTCTTGCTAAGTTGCTAAATTGCTCGGGCTGGGTTCAAACTTTCAACCCTCTTGCTTCTGCTTCTATGGTGCTGGGGTTACGGCAGAATCATACTTTTCAAACAGCACTTCACTGGTGTCTCATTCTTTGAATGAAATGATAGTTGGGGGATCTTGGTTTTTGTTTATTGTGTGCGTTTTTCTTTTGAGATAGGGTACTGCTATGTTGCCCAGGCTGGCCACAAACTGGGCTCTTCCTGCCTCGGTCTCCTCAGTAGTTGGGACCACAGGTGTGCCACTATGCTTAGCCAATGATGCTGGTTTTTAAAAAACTTTCCTTTCTCTCTCCACTATTTTCTTCAGTTTATGTTTTCCCATTTGTTTTGGCATCTTTTGTATTCAGGCTTCCCCCGAGCTGTCTGGTGAGCCTTGATTTTCTGCTTATCTGGGAAGGTAGGGGATAAAGAGCCCAAGAGAAGCTTGACTATGGGGACCTGCTTGAGAAATTTCCCTTGGGATGTCTTGGTCATTCTTGTTGGGCTGGATGGATTCCCCAGAGATAACTCTTCCAGTTTCCTGTCTCACCACTCTGGGAGGTGAGAGATGAAAGAAGGCCAAAAGTCTCAGCAGCCAGTGTGTACCCATTCCCTGATTGCCCCTCTGCAACGGGGCTTGCTCCTGCTGTGTGCTATACCTGGTGGGCCCAGTCTTGATGCCTGCTGTCTAGGCCTCGGCCCCAGGAGGAGGCAGGTCACTCAGGGTCACAGAGAGGGAGATCTAGAGCTTTATCTACTTCTAAAGCAATCGGCCTCTGGCCCTCCTTATTTTAGTTATACCTCATTTACTCTCCCCACCTACTTCCACTTCCAGAAGTTCCCGATCTCACAAACGCTGAGCTTTGTGAAGACCGCCTTGCAATTTTCCCCGCTTTCAGCTTTCTCGGGCTTGCTATGTAAGCCACAACTTGCACATTTGCTCCCCATATTTAAAGTTTAATTGTAAATCTCCTACACCGTTCTCCCTATGCCTTTGGGTTTGTACAATTTACAAATACAAATAAATTTCTCTAGCGCAGTTGTGGACTTCAGTCCACTTGCTTTAGCTGGAGGTCCCCTGTCACTCTATTGAGGTTATTTTTCATCTTTCCTAATTATCATAGTTTTCATTTTTAGAAATTGTATTTGTTCTTTTTCAAATCTTCTTTGTTTAGATCTCGAGTTTGAAGCTTCTCTTTCATTTCTTTAAACATATTAAGACAGTTTTTGCCTTTGTTTTTGGTTTTTTCAATACTGGGGATTGAACTAAGGCCTTTGCATTGAGCTCCACCTCCAGTGCTTTTTAATTTTTATTTTTTTGAGGCAGGGTCTTACTAACTTGCTAAGTTGCCCACGCTGGACTCAAACTAGTGATCCTCCTGCCTAAGCCCCTGATAGGCCTGGGGAAAACAGTTGTTTTAAAATTCTGTACCTATTACAGAAGTCTGGAGTCTACATGGATCTGATGCCTCTCCTCACTGTTTCTCTGACTTCCATTCATAGTATGTTTCCTATGAATGTTGTGATTTTTGACCATGAGTTGCCCATTTTCTTGGACTTTTACCTTAGGAGTTCTTTTAGGCAAAAACTGACAATTTCATCTCACCAGAAATAATTTGCTTTTGCTTCTACCAGTCACCTGGGGGCACTAACACCCTAGAACTACTTAAAATTAAAATCTAAGCTTGAGGGTCTTTTTATTTACACAGTAGAATAAATTATGACCATAAGCAACATGGCTAAGAAATCTCAAAGGAGATTTTACCCCTTTCTTCCACCATCAGAGGTCAGACAGGACAGGCAAGTTTCATTTCTGTATATGTCTGAGCGGTAGAGTTCCCATTCTCCCATTTACCGACCCTTGAGATCTATGTGGCACTGTGTTTTCCATTTCACCACCAAACCTGGGGGGCTGTCCTCCATCCCCAGTGCCTCCTGTTTGTCAGAAATTTTCAGGGAAACAAAAGGCAGCTTTGCAATCTAGCTACCTTTCAGAGTTCCTGTGTTTACTCCTCCACTGCCAAACCTTGGAATTCTTGCCAGTTTGGCAATGCCTTAAAAATATATATTTTGGGGGCCAGGGATATAGTTCAGTGGCACAGCGCCTGCCTTGCAAGCACAAGGTCCTGAGTTCGATTCCTGGTACCAAAAAATATGTATTTCTATGTTTTGATCCTGCACTTTAGTGGTCTCAATTGAAAGGATCATTCAGGATACTTGAGACTAGCAGAATCCCAGAGGAGAAAGTTCTTATACTTTTTACAATTCCTTTTCCTCTCCCCAACTGCTTTCACACCTCAAAGGGCTCCCTACCGTCTCTTCTCCCAATTCTCAGAATGAAGAGGAGAGGAAGGGACAGCTAGTGGGCGTACAGAAAGTGGCAAGGCCGATGGATTATAGGTCTCATAAGTCCTATAATTATAAGTCCTGAGCAGGTCAGTCAGGAGGGCAGGGAGGTGGGGTGAGAAAGCGGAATGTTTGAGTAGGTCTCTATCATTATAAACAAGGAAGCCTGGTACATCATAAATAAGTAAGGGTGAGCTTTCTCACTCAGTCACAGCTAGTGATGGCAGAATGAGGCCTGGGAGCCAAGTTTCCTCTTCCCATACTGCACATTCATGAACGAAGTCAGGAAGAATATTAAAGGGCAAATACCTTGCCATAGTCAATGACGGGCAGCTCAATGCTGGGGAAAAGATCTTGCACAATGGCGTTGAACAGTGGCACATCAACTGATGTTAGCTTAGGAATATTCATATCTCTCATTGAGAGCAGCAGAACCTGGATGGAAAAGACGGAGACTCAAATTTGAGGAGCTAGAACCTAGGTGCTTGTGAGACCCTTCACCAAAGGGCTTGAGGACAGGAGCCAAGAACAGATACGCTGGAGATAGTTCTTAGCAATATAACGGGCAGAACTTGGGCGATACAGGGAACAAGGCATGAGAGTAGGAATCTCAATCTGGGTAAAGGAAAGAGCTGGAAAACTTTAGTGATGGCGCATAGCCGTGGAGACACTGGAGGCTGAAGTCCAAGGGCCCTTCTCCCTGGTCTACCTCTTCATCGCTCAGATCCGGCTGGAGGCGGCGCTTCTTGCCAGCGTAGCGCACGAGGGAGGTGAGGGCGCGGAGGCCGAAGTCATAATGGTCCTGCTTGGAGAGCTGCTGCACAGCCAGTGAGTAGAGTGTATATACTTTCTTGGCAAGGATCTGAAAAGCAGAGGAGGAAACAACCTATCCCATACAAGGCCTGCTCTTCATCAAAGGACAGTTACAGATCCAAGAAGCTAGGTCAGGGACCTGATGCTTCTGGGGGTTGCTCTACGGACGAGGCTCCTGAGACCTTGTGACTTGTGCTATCATCAGTTAGGGATATCATGGAAAGGAGACCTTTCTCCTCTGAATTCTTCTGCCTTCACCTCCTCCTGACAAATGCCTAAGTTCCTTATAGGAAAAGCTGACTGAACCTCCAAGGGGTTTCTCTGTCCAGGGAATGATTATGAAAGGGAAATAAAATAATTGGAGGGAAGAGGTTATCCAAATACCTTGCAGTTGCCAAAGCCCTCCCCAAAGAGAATGATTTCTGCAATAAGGGTAGAATCAGGCACCACCATGGCAATGGGACGGAACATGGATTTAAGATTTTCAGGAAGCTCTGTGCGGCCAGCATAGCCTGGAAAACAATGCCATTTACTTAGACTCCTTGTATTTCCTTCGGCTTTCTTCCCCAACCCACTTCCCAATCAAGCCTACTTTGCCCGACACTTGGTCAATCCTTAATTTTCTCCCTAACTCCAACAAGGTTGATTCCTCTCTAATCCCAGCCCTGGCTCTTCCCATTCCGCTTTGGTCTTATTTCCTCTCTAGCCTTTTCCTTACTTTCTGCATGGCCCTGTTTCAAACTGAAAATACACAGCTGCTGATTTCCCATCTCTCCAAGTTCTATGTATAGCTCACATCAGTCCTAATAGAAATCACAGCTGTTTCTTTGATTCTTTCGGGACCATAAGCCCTTCCCTGCACCTGCACCTGTTCTTCCCCGGGCCCTTCCCCCAGACTTGTTACCAGGGCACTGTAGTGAGAGATTCTAGGCCTCACACTTTAGGAGGATTCTCCCATCTTGCCAGGTAAACCAGAATTGCAATAAGAGAAGGTAACCAAGCCTTAAAAGACTAAGGCTACCTACGGACACATAAGTAATTAATGGTCCCTTCACAGAGAACAATAAGATAGCCTCCTTGCCCCAGAAAGGACAAGCTGGTGTTTATTCTTTTTTTGCCCTTTGTTGTCATTAGCCAGATTTCTCCTGGCTATCCATTTAAGAAGGAAGAAGATGATACACAGGTACCTGCCCTGGGTATCCAGTTCTCCCACCTAGAAGGACCATTTATTGCTGGGACCTACCAGGATTCATGGTAATGAAGATCCCACAGGACCACACCAGATTTATTTCAAAGCCCTCAAAATAGAAGCGGGTGAGGCTGGCAGCCAAGGCAGAGAGGATGGACAGGATCTGCTGGGCGACCACTGACAGCACCTCGATATTGATACGGTTAAATTCATCAAAGCAGCCCCAGGCTCCTGTCTGTGGAGGGAGGGAGACAGCGTCACTGGGAGAAAGATAAGTGCCCCAAGACACTAGAGAGCTTGATTAACACACTCCTCCTTCAAATGTTTTTGCATGCAGGGTGGCCCTCAAAATATGGCAAAGGCACCAGAATAGCACTGTCACAGCTTCTGGGCAGAGGTTTCCATCCAAGAGGACAGATTGGGACAATGGTGGGAAAGACATGGCTGAAAAAACTGCAGCAGGGAACTTGTATGCCCCAAGTATCCAGCAGTTGGGTGCAGGATCTGACATAATCCTTACATAATCTTTTGATTTTGCAAATGAGCAGCATGAAGCATGGAGAAGGGAAGAGGCTTCCCCAGCAGTAAGAATTACCCAAGGTAATGCCATGTCATAAGCAATAAGGCACCAAAGCAGACCAGGTTTCACTTGATTTTCTTGGGACTGAAAGATATGTGAAGGGACTTCTGGGACATTGTGCCAGGATACCGACCTGGGCCAAGCCTGAGTACATTCGGCCCATGGATTTATAGTCCAGGCCTTCAGAGCAGTTGACCACAATGACATAAATGCCCAGGGCCTTGCCCAAGTCCTTGACAGTCTCTGTCTTCCCGGTGCCTGCTGGGCCTTTGGGGGAGCCCCCTCGATGCAGGTGCAAAGCTGTGGTCAGTGTCATGTAACACCTAAGAATTGAGGACAGGCCTCTGGTCAGACTCCTGGAAGCCAATCTCAGCTTCGTAGCCTCCACCCGAGCCACCTCATTCGACCCCCAGGGCAGACCTGTCTGTCAGAGGGGTGATGACCAGCCGGCCAGAGTTTCCCAGGTACTCGTAGCCATACTGGAACTGCGTGTTGGTCTGGCGGATCACACAGTCATCCAGGTCCTGATGAGAAAGGACAGAGTGAGATGGAAGTGAGCTGGAAAGATGAGCAGAGCAGCGAGAACGGCTAAGAGCAGCGCTCCAAGAAGGAAAGGGGCTGCAGGGAGACCACAGCTTCTGTTTAGAGTTAGGAAGAAGTGGGTTTATGGCCCAGACGGAAAGAGGGTTTCACGTTGCATATGCACTTTGATCCACAGCAGCAGCTGCCTGAAGTCTTCCTGGGTTGTGACTGCGTGATATACGTGATATACGCACTGCCTGGAACAATTGCTTGCCACCTCTGGATTAGGAGGTGGGATGGTGTGGGGAACTGGGTTAGGACGCCATAATAGGACTAAGGATTGGGTTAGGATATTGTTACATTTAGACATGGTGAATTTAGTTAAAGCTTTAGGATCAGTATTAGGGCAAGAGAGTAGGGAGTTGTCCCTTCTGGCACCTTCTCCCAGTAGAACCGAAGCTGGCTGAGCCAGTCAAAGGAATTGACATCCATGAGGCCACTCTTGTAAAGCTTCTCCAACACATCCCGAGCATGAATCTCTATTGTCACCAGAGCCACAATTTTAAGCCGCATGATCTTGGTCAAGTTTCCCCTGATGGCTTCTGAATACTTATTCAGTATTGACACCTATGGGATTAAGCAGGAGGGAAGAATAAACAGCAACACAACCAAAGCTGAATCACACCTCACCTCAACTTAATGTTGTACCTTCCACCCAAAGCCCATCCCTCCCACTAACACCCCTACACCCAGCCTTGGCACAGGAGGGCCTAGTTCTGCTCCACACCAAACTCTGCTTAGTGGACTTCTGTCACAAGTCACTCTCCTTCTGACCCTTTTGCAACAACAAGCTTCTCTCTAATTCCTACTCTAGTCACCACCCTTCCGCCAATTCCAACTCCAGGCCTATCGCATACTGAAAGAGTCCCCCACCTGCTTCTTCTTCATGACCTTGAGGATTTTCTTGTCAGCCCGCTCCTTAGCTGTCAACAGGCACTTGGTTACATCAGCCGTCCACTGGATCTGACTGGTTGTGATCACCATCTGGGTGAGTGCAGACGCTGAGTCCAAGGCCCTGCCCTAGGCCACCCATCCAGCCCAGCTCCCAAGCTCCAGCCCCCTCCGGAACTAGGTGCGCATTATGCTTGATCCATCCTAGAGGGTGGGGCGCGTGCCTCAGGGCAGACCCAGCACATAGGGTACCAGAGCCACAGCCCAGAAGAGAGGCAAGAAATCTCCATTTTGTGAGGCTCTAGAGTCTTCCCACTAAAAAGGAACTCCTTCTTAGTGCCACCTTTAATATTTGCCACTTCTGTTGGCCCCAGCTCACCTGGCCAGCCCACTCCTTCACCCACTTGTCCCTCTTGTTAAGGAACTTCTTGAGAGCCAGGCGGCAGTTCCGGAGAAGGTCCCTCAGGGTTACCCTCATGGTCCGTTCCACGTCCCCAAGCCAGGACTAGGGAGAGGTAAAAGATCAGAATGGCTCCTTCAGGGTCGGTCAAAGTCCCCTAAAGGGAAGGTGCTTGAGAAACAGCATGAATGTGCAACAGCAGGTTTGGGTCCCCAGTGGAAACAGAAGCCAGGAGACAGAGTATCTGATTTTCAGAGAGACACCGTGATTCAAGGTCGAGGTTGGGGCTGGGGATTTAGCTCAGCGGCAAAAAGCGCCTGCCTGGCAGGCGCAAGGTCGTGAGTTCGGTTCCCGGTACCGGAGAAAAACCAAAAAAAAAAACAACAAAAAAAAAAAAAATCAAGGTCGAGGTTATAATTGCCAGGAATGGTAGATGAAGATAGGGGGTAGAGGAGCAACTGAAAGAGCAACTAACATCCCTCCAAAGAGGTGTTCTGTCCTCACAGAGCCAAGCAAACTTTCTGGATGGAAGCAGAGCTAGCTTGATTCTTAGACCCTTGCCACAACTCACCTCCACAGGCCCTTCTAAGAGCACCGGGTGGAGGAAGTCAATGTACTCGCCATCGCCCGAGAACATCCCCACAGCTTCCCACTTGCTGCTGGGACCCCCCATCTGTGGAAAAAGAAGTTATTAGTGAGTTGGCCTGCCTGCTCTTGGTAACGGCCTACAAGTACATGGGCCCTTTTGAGGGAAATTTCTTTGCCTGTCCTGTCAGTATTAACTCTAAAAAGTGCTATCTTGTGAAAATCTAGGAATCTAGAATCATTAATTAGTATTCCTTCTGGTTGGGAGGGCACTGTCCCTTCCAAAGCCTTGAAGTTGAGTGTGTGTGTGTGTAGTGTACTGGGGATTGAACCCAAAGACTTTACACTAAGCTAGATCCCCAGGCCTTTTTTATTTTTTATTTTCAAATGGGGTCTCATGAAATCATTAAAGTTGCCCAGGCCAGGCTCAAACTTGTGATCCTACTGCCTCAGCCTCCCAGAGTGTGGTGGGATTACACGCATGTGCCACCGCACCTAGCTGAAACTGAATTTCTTGACATCACCATCCCTTCTTTGCCCTCTATCCCATCATGGACACCTCTACTGGCCTTCTGGATTCTCAGCAATTTGATGTTGTCAAAGCACTTTTTGAGATGTGGCTGCACAGCCTCTGGGTTGCGGGACTGGCCCAGAATCTCCAGCAGGTCATCATTGGACAAGAAGTAGAAACGGGGGAAAATGTGCCGCTTGGTCTCTAAATACATATCCAGAGACTTTTGAATATCTTCCAAGATTGTGTTCATTTCTATCAATGTATCCAAAAGGCCTGAAAAAAAAAAAAGCAATGAATGACATTTGATGGCCTTTCATCATTGCCCTGAGAAGATCCACAGTCTAAGCTCTATCCACTTTGCCAGCTCTTGATAGTTGGGGTTCCGATTGCATAAGGGTTTTAAAAGCAGAAAAGTATCCTCATTCCCCTATCATGCTTATCCCATTCTGTTGATTCATTATGAGTTATGCATTACAGCTATTATAATGCTATAGCTTCTACATTAATTATGCATCATATGATTTTACCAATTTAACTCCCATCAGTCCTCACAGTCCTGCTCCACCTAAAAATTTAGGATTATGCTGGTCAATCCAAGAGCTTCTGAAAATGGAGACTGTTTTGCATTTACACAATCCAACAGGTTGTCATTAGATTTAAGCACATATCATACGCACTCAATGGAAGAAGTCTAGGGCCGAGGAGATAGCTCAGCGGCATGGCACCTGCCTGGCAAGTGCAAGGTCCTGAGTTTGATTCCCGATACCAAAAAAAAAAAAAAAGTCTACACCCATTGGAATCACCTGTGTCCCTCACACCTAGTGAAAGGGGCACCAGACTGGGATCCAGAAGATCACCGCTCTGGCAGTTCTTACACTTACTAGCATGTCAATTAACCTTGTTGAGTTTCAACCTCTTTTTTCAGTAAAATGGCCATAAGGTCTATCTCAAAAAAACAATTCGAGCTGGGTGTGGTGGTGCATGCCTGCAATCTCAGCACTCAGGAGGCTGAGGCAGGAGGACCGCTGTGAGCTCAAGGCCAGCCTGAGCTATGTAGTGAATCTAGGTCAGCCTGAACTACAAAAAAAAAAAAAAAAAAAAAAATTCAAGATATTAAACAAAGAGCTGAACATATAGCTTAGTGGTAGAGAAACAGGTACACATACGATATTAAACAAAATGTATTCACACTTTTGCATTCCCAGTAATCTTAGTTTCCTTCTAGCCTATACTCTATGTCTTAGTTCTTGATTGGTTTTTCCTTTCTAGCCTGATGCTCTGAGTATGGACCCTGAAGCGACCTTCTTGCCTTCCAGTATGTACACAGTCAATAGCTGCTGCAGCCTTTGCGTAACCACCTGAGTGATCACTCCCTGGAAATCACAGAAGGAGCCAGTAGCCACGGACCAGGTGGGTTTGTTCTATGCGTTCAATGACACGATCATTGTTTTTATGGCTTTGCTTATAAATTACTCCAAAATATAATTTTGTTAACTATTTCCATGGGGGCGGTATTGAAACAGGGTCTCACTACATAGTTCACGCTGTCCTTGAATTCACTGTGTAGCCCTAGCCTGCATCAAACTTGGGTTGATCCTCTCGCCTCAGCCTCCTGGGCACTGCAATTACAGGCATGGGCCACCATGCCCAACTTGTCAGGTTTTGAACTCAAGGCTGTCTGATTCCATATCCTGTAACCATTATGTAACATTCTATTCACATAATTGTTGAATTTAATTTACTAAACTATTTTTAATGCTTAGAGAAGGCAGCGGTGACAGGAAGTGTTATGATAGCGAGGTAAAGAGTCAGTCTTTTTATAAATGAAGCATGTGGCCATGGCCTCACATATGTGTAGAACCAACTGAGGAGCCTATGTTGGGGCAAAAGCCAGAGCTCTAACCTGGGTAGTGGGTGCTCTGGAGGGCATTGTTGTTCTTATTCATTCGGTCCATAATGGCTTTCCAGTTATTGTTGACCTGGTCAAATAAGGCTGACTCATTGGGTAGCTGTTTGCGGATGTCCTCTCCTAGAAAGATATTCTGCAGGGCAAATGATTGGTATGAGAGATGCTTCCCACACTCTCTCCCCACTTTGCCTCTTGCTCCCAAACCAGGTAGGACAATTGAGTAGAAGACGCAGAACACTAGAAACTAACAGTCCAATGCCCAAGTTCTAGGAAGAAAGTGGGTATTGGACGTTAGGTTGCTGGGGCCAAGAAAAAACTAGAAGGAGAATCTGAGAAAACAAACACTAACAGAGACGGACGTAAGGTAATAACTAAGGGTCAGACAGCTGAGGCATAGATAGACTTTTGAGAGCTGGGACAATGAGCCTGGTATCAGGGCGAATAAACAGGTTCTGATCACACACAGAGTAAAGGCGGAAGGTAGGAAGGGCTTGGGTGCTGAGTCCTGACCTCCAGGTACATCCACTGACGCTGCACGGTGAGCACCATCTCAATAACCTCCAAAATGAGGGAGAGACAGCGTTCCCAGTGGTCCACATCCTTCTCAAAGGCCTTGACAAAGCGTGATGCCTTCATGGTCGACAGAGCTACCTGGTTATCTTCCAATGCCTGGAATATCTCTTCTGTACCTCTGGAGCACAAGAGATCAATGAAACAGTCCATGCCTATCTGCCAAACTTTGATCCCCGCTCTACAGCCCTGCTCACGTGGCCTTCCCCTCTCCTGGAACTCCAGGTCTCTACCTTAGCCGGTGATGGCCCTTATCTTTGTAGGGTACTATGTCTAGCTGAGTCACATCCCAGGTCTTGGCAATGTTCTGTAATGCCTGTGAAGAGAAATTGGGGGACAGAGCATCCAGTAACTAGCCCCAGGGGAGGAGGAACTGGGAGGTGTCTTCAGATGGATCCATTCCAGTGAGAATGGACAGCTAGAAGCCTTAAGAAGGCTTAGGAAGTGGGGAGGACGGACAAAGACGGTGTCATACCACTTCTATAGCCAGCTCTTTGGTTGCTGAGGCAGAGATCTCTCCAATTTTCTCTACATGCTGATCCATTCCAAGCTCCACAATCTGCTCCAAGGTAAAGCTTTCAGATTCCTGATCAAATTCCCGCTGGATTTCATCCCTGACCTGGTCCCAGTGCCTATAATCAGGAACAAGAAATCTGATCAGGAGGCTACATACCAGGCCCTAAAAAGCATCAACATCATTCCCAGTGCCTGAGGGGTGTTGTTCAGTACAGTGTTTGCCGATGTGAAGTCCTGGATTCTACTTCCAGTGCTCCCCCAAAATATCACTTCCTGAGCTTCTTCCCATTGGGACACTGTGATGACATTAGTGCTCCCAATGGGACCCTATAATCCTGGGTATTATTAATTCATGATTCAACACATTTTACTAAATAGCCCCTAAGGTGCAATCTTAGGCACCTTGGGGAATACAAAGACTGACGTGACTCCCTCCAGGAGCTGGTTCTCTGGAGAGAATTTAGGCAGGTGTGCGTACAGAACACTCAATGAACTGTCGCAGGTTTGCTATGGATCATGCACTAGGCCACATGCCTTACATGAAATGTCACATTTAATTCTCACAACCACTCCTTAGATAAGGAAATATTATTATTTTATTTACGGATGAGGAACCTGAAGCTTAGACAGGTTAATAACTTAAGCAAATAAAGGGGTTAAGCTATACTTAATCACTGCCACTTAAGAGGTGAAATGCTGCCAAATACATTATACTGGAGGCAATGCAAAAAAAATTTATTTGCCCCTAAATGGGTAGATAATAACTAAAACACCACTCAATGCCTCCTCTATCATATAAATTCCAGATCCAGTAAAAGAGTTAAATTTGAAAACCAGAATTAGAGGAAAGAATGTATTTGCAATTTTGGAGTAGGAAAGGTCTTTTTAAACAAGGCACAAAAGCAAAAGCCCCTTTGGTTGCATCAAAATAAAACCTTCCGTATGACAAAAGACATAAGGCTTAGCTTATAAAGTAGGAGGACACAGGGGGAGGCCCCAGGGAAGAGGGCAGAGAACAGAGTCAGCCAGTCTGGATAACCCAGAACTGTACAAGAAGCAGAGGGCAGCATCAGGCTTCACTATCGACACCTGCACCACCACGTTCACAGCTAGTAGCCAGGATGTGGATAGAATGAATGAACCTAAATGTCCATCAGGCAATGAATGGATAAAGAAATGCAGTATTTACGCACAATGGAAAACTATTTCCTCTTTCTTTCCTTTTTTTAGACAGGGTTTTGCTATGCAGTTGAGGTTGGCCTTGAACTCACTTTGTAGCTCAGGCTGCTCGAATTTACAGCGATCCCCCTGCTTCAGCCTCCCAAATGCTGGCATTATAGGAATGTGCCACCACACCCAGCATATTTCATCTTTAAAAAGAAGGAAATCCTGTCATTTGTAACAAGAGGGATGAACCTAGAGGATTTTATGTTAAGCAAAGCGCAGGAGGACAAATACCAGATTACCTCACTTATATGAACAATCTTAAAAGGTCAAATTCACAGAAGCTGAGAGAATGGTGGTTACTGAGGCTGGGGATTGGAAGGAGGATTGGGAAACATTGCTCAAGGGTACAGAGTTTCAGTTTCCCATGAGGAATACATGTAAGAGATCTACGGTACAACCTGGTGACTATAACAATGTGTTAAATGCTTGAAAATCGCTAAGTCTACATTTTAAATGTTCTCATCACAATAAAAAAGCGTATGAGGTAACGTGTATGTTAATTGGTTCAACTGAGCCATTCCACAATGAACGAATATTTTGAAACATCATGGCGTACATTATAAATATATGCAATTTTTGTCAATTAAAAAATAAAAGCCAGGCACAGTGGCATATGCCTGTTATCCCAGCTACCGAAGGTTGCAATAGGAGGATCCAGCCTTGCCAACTTTGCAAGACCTTGTCTCAAAATAAAAAAATAAAAAGACCAGGTGATCTAGCTCAGTGGTGAGTGCCTCGCATCTCGAGGCCCCGGATTTGATCCCCCATTGTGCAATAAGTAGCTAAATAAATATATAAAAATTAATTTTTTAGAAGGGGGAAAAAGATGTATGTTTGAGGACGAAGAGAAAGGAAAAGCTGTGGTTGCTCGAAATGGAAAGCAGGAATAACCAAGAGGTGACATTGAGGGGCAGAACGGTGACCCCCTAGGGGACCCAGGAGCAGCCTCACCTCTCCCTGAGGGCAGGGTTCCGCAGGTCTGAGATGAGAGGCATGGTTCTCTTGAACTGCTCTATTTTGGATCGAGTGGTTTCAATAATTTCCCAGTTTCGGTCCTGAGCAAAAGTGGGAGTCATCAGAAGACCCAGCCAGGGCCGCCCTTCCTCAGTGGGCACCTCCTCTGCCTCCTCGCCCTGTCTCAGCACACCTTATACTCTTTGGCTAGTCTTGTGAGGCGACGAAACAGCCCGTGCGCCATGGTCTCCATGGCCTCCGTCTGCAGAGTCAGGAAGCGCCCTGTCTTCCACTGGTTCCAGTTCTCCTCCCAGTCCCGAGTGATCTCCCATACTTGCTGCAACGCATCGAGCTCCTGCCAGGCCGAGAGCAAAGGTACGCTAGGGGAAGGGGCACCTGCCCTCTTCCTCCCGACAGCCGCTGAGTCCTCTGCTCTGCTCCTCCAGCTACCAGCGCCACCTCCCTTCTCATTTTCCTCTTCACTCTTCGTTCAGAAGGGCTCATCAAATACTAAGCATGTGAAAAGAGCCTCAGCATCATTAGTCATTAGGGAAATGCAAATTAAGACCTCAGTGAGATATCACTTCACACCCACTGGGATGGCTAAAACCAAAAAAAAAAAAAAAAAAAAAAATTTTTTTTTTTAAGAGGGAAATAGTGTTGGCAAGGATACGGGGAAAAATAGGAACCCTTGTACATTGCTAGTGGGAATATAAAATGGTGCAGCTGCTGAGGAAAATAGCTTGGCAGTGCCTCAAAAATTTAAACATAGTTACCATATGATCCAGAAATTCTACTGCTGGCTTCCCACAAGAATTAGAAACAGGTGTTCAAACAAACACGAGTACACGCATGTTCCTAGCAGGACTACTCACTACAGCTGAAAGGCAAAAACAACCCAAATGCCCATCAGCTGATGAATGGATGGACAAAATGTGGTAAACACGAACCACAGAATATTATTCAGCCATAAAAAGGAAGGAAGTGCTGACACAACATGGGTGAATCTTGGCACTATGCTAAGTGAAAGAAATCAGAGATGAAAGTGCCAGCCCATATTGTATGGTTCCTTTTATATGAAAGGTTTGGAATGGGCAGATTCACAAACATGGAGAACAGATTTGTAATTGTAATTGACAGGTGTGGAAAGGGGAGGGTTAGGGAGTGGCTGCTAGTGGGTATATGATCTCCTTTGGGGTAATACAATTTTTTGGAACTAGACAGAGGTGACGGCTGCATGGCATTGCGAGTATACTAAATGCCACTGAATTGTTCACTTTAAAATAATCTTGTTAGGTGAATTTTATCTCAATTAAAAAAAAAAAAAAGCTGCTCATGAGCTCATTTTCCTGGTACCAGGTGTCTCTGCAGTGCCTTAGGAACAGATCTCCTGTCCCCTGCCCCTTATCCCTGGTTCCCACAGGGTCTGGCTCAGCACACCACCTTCTCCAGGTTCTGGAGATCTTTGGAGGCCGGCTGCTCGATCTTGAAGATGCCCAGGTTGGAGCGGAGAGTGTTCTCTTCCTCCCGCAGAGCCATCAGCATGGCCCGCATCTGCGCGATCTGATCCAGGGCGGCGGCGTGGCCCACGGTGCTGATGAAGGGGCCTGGGGGAGATCAGAGGGCAGCTGAGTTTCCCCTTGAGTCCATGGTCCCTCAGAGCACGGTCCTGGCTCTCCTATTTCTTTGCAGGCAAATTGCTTCTCCCCTCACATGAGAGTGTGAAGGGAGCTCAGTAAGAGGAATGTGCCCAGAGAGCACTGGAGAAAACTACTAAATGTTGCGGAAGAGCCGGCTGCAGACGGAACACAGGAGCATGGTGTAAGAACGCCGCAGATGTGGCCAGCGTTGCTGCCTTCCAACCAAAACCCTGCCGCGCGGGCGGGCGAGCTCCTGTTTTGTCCCCGACAGAAGCCCTGGGGGCCACTGCCCCTTGCCACCCCACCACTGTCCTTGCTCCTCCCATCCTGCGCTGACCTTCCCAGGACACAGGCGTGGCACACAGGGTCTCAAGGCAAAAGGAGGGGGAGAGGCGGACCAGGGAGTACCTTTTGATTCAAAATCTTCCAGCAGGTTGTGCGCTTTCTTCTTAAAGTCATCAGCAGAGACAATAAGGCCTGTCTTGAATTTCTCTTTGTGTTTCTTCAGCATTTGTTCACTGTCCAGCAGAATTTGTTGGAAGGTGACCCACTCCCCATTGAGTCTGTCCAGCATTTCCAGTACCTGGGGATGCCAGAGAGGGAAGGATGCAGATGATGCATCTGCAGGAGTCTGTCCTTCTCACCAATGCTGCGTTGTGTGTGTGTGTGTGTGTGTGTGTGTGTGTGTGTGTGTTGCTGAGAATGGACCTCCATGCCTTATGCTTGCTAAGCAAACAAGTGCTCTTGCTTCTAAAGACTCTTCTGATCCACAGTCCAGAGTCTTAGATAAGCTTTTCGGTTTGGGGGTATTTTTTTTTTTTGCAGAGGGGCAGACAGGATTGCCCAAGCTGGCCTTGCACTCCCGGGCTCAAGTGATCCTCCCACCTCAGGCTCCTGAGTAGCTAGGACCAGAGGTACAGGCCACCAACTGGCTCACAGATGAGCTTTTCATGTACAACAAGGCCCCCAAGAAATTAAGCCGTGAGTTGCTGGGGTTAAAAGAAATCCAGAAGCTGACCGGAAATACCATTTGAGTCAACTTTCCCTCTCAAGGGCTTCAGAATCTTGAGCCTTCTCCCCTTATCAGTCCTCTGTACTACCCCCGGACAGCACCAGGACCCCCCCCAATCTGAGGCTGCTGATATGGGCCCGACTCAGGTGGACCAAACACCACCAGGACTCACCTCGTCCGGAACTGGAACTTCATACTTCTCCAGAATGGTGAACTGTTCATGGATGGGAGGGATCTGGGTCTCCATATTGGGCAAATCATGCTGAAGGGTATCCATAAGCTGCAAACTGACCCCCAGTTCCTCCAGTGTCTGGGGAGGGCGGCTGATTCTAAAGGTGGGCAGAGAGAACGCTGTAGGTAGAAAGCTTAGGGCCTGCCCTGGCCACCCCGCCCGCTCCAGCCGAACCCTACTTCTCTCCGTTCTCCTTCAGGTAGTTGTGCAGCTCCAGCAGGTGCTTCGCTGCCATCTCCTTGAGCAGAGTTGTGAACTTGTTCTGCCACTCATTGCAGTGCTGCACCAGGGAGAATTTGAGGTGCGAACAATCCAGCAGCACAAACTGGATGTTGAGGACCGTCTCTTCCTTCTGCACATTGTTAGCCACCTCTGTATAGCTGTAAGGGCCCCAGAACCCCACTAGCATGATCATCCTTAGTTGACATGCCCCTGCCTGACGCTGGCTCACATCCCCACTTCCTTCCACCCAGACCTGTGCAGTTGCTCTAGAGGGTTCTACTCCTAGAGGGTGTGTCCTGCACCAACCCATCCCCAAAAGACAGCTAGGACCATGTTAATTTCCCAACTGCTGGCTAGAAAAGAGTGATCACATGCCTTTCCTTGGCATTCAAGGCCTTAGAGTTTCATAGGTCTAGACTGAGCTCATACTGTGCTGCTTCTTAGCTCTGGGACCTCCGCCAGGTGTTCCATTTTAAGAGACAGGGTCTCTATTGCTCAGGCTGGCCCCAAATTCCTAGGCCCAAGCGATCCTCCTGCCTTAGTATCCCAAGTAGCTGGGATTCGGGATGCATGCCCATCTCTGCCTGCTGAACTACCACACATTTTGTAAGGCACAGCCCTAAGATGACTTCTTTCATGAAGCTATTCCTTGTGCCTCTGGTTGGACCTTCTTTCTTTCTGCTATACTGTGAATTTGATTTTTATTTATTTATGGTTTTTGAGACAGGGTCTTGAACTCACTATGCAGCCTAGGCTGGAACTCAGAGCAATCTTGAACTCATAGCAATCCTCCTGCTTCAGCCTTCTGAGTGCTGGGATTACAGGCATGTGCCACCACACCCAGTTTATACTGTGGATTTTATTTGTTTTGCTTTTTCTTTTTTTGAGACAGAGTCTTGCTATGTAGTTCAGGTTGGTGTTAAATTCACTATGTGGCCCAAGCTGGCTTCAAACTCACAGCAATCCTCTTGCCTCAGCCACCCAAGTGCTGGGATTATAGATGTACACCACCACACTTGGCTATTGTGGATTTTAAATATCCCTAAAGTTGATGTTATTGGGAGGCGGTGGGAACTTTAACAGATAGAGCCTACTGGGAGGCTTTCCAGTCATTGGATACATGTTCTTGAAGGGGATAGTGTGCCCTTGGGCCCCTCTTTCAGCATCAGCCATGAAGTTTATGGCATTACTCTCAACATCATGTGTCTCCACAAGTCCAAAGCAATGAAGTAAATTGGTCATGGGCTACAACTTCCAAAACTGTGAGCTAAAACAAACCCTCTCTCACTATAAGTGATTACCCTAGTTATTTGTTACAGTAACAGAAAGCTGACTAATAAACTTTCCATTGAACTGCTTTGGTACCTTGTGTGTCTTTATCATAGCATGCATCACACTGAAGCTTGTATAATAAGTATGATACAGTCGTTTAGAATTTACAACATGCTTTCCTGTATATTTAGTAATCTCACAATGTCCTGAGGTAGGTTATATAATATGTGTTTCCCAAGAAAGAGGCCCAGAGAATATAAGAAACCTGCCTAAGATTGCACAGTGAGTTAGGTGGTAGAGTTGGGACCCAAGCCTTCTTAAGCCACCACAGTGACTGCTGCCAACAATACCTTTATCTTCCTTACTATACTATAGCCCATGGAGGTAGAGGGAATTTGTTCATTTCTTTCTCTCTTTTTTTTAACTCTTCATGCCCTATTGGACAATCACATTGAATGAATGAATGAATGAATGAATGGTAGAGCAATCTAGGGGCATGAAAAGCTGCCAGTTAAGATCAGAATTTAAGAATCATCTTCAGTTTCATTCTAGGCTGCCTGTTTGCATCTTTCAGATCTCTAGCATTTCTTCTTTTCTGAAGGAACTGTGCTGTCCTCCCCTAAACAATGACTTTTCCTTAAACCTAGCTCAGCTCTTCCAAAATCTCTACCCTTGAGAAACAAAATCCCAGCACCCTCAGTCCTTCTGTTTTCCTGTAGCAGAGGGCACATGATGTCTGCACTGCCCCACCCCAGCCTGCTGCCTGGAGTTCCTCCCCCAGTTACAGTACTTCCACGTCTCTTCAGGACTCCTGCACCCACCCTGCCACTCACCGGGCAATGTCAGCATCAAAAGAAGAGACAGGGGGGTTGAGGCGCTGATAGCGACGGATGAAGGAGTCCTTGTTGATCTCCCAGATTTCCCGGTACATGTCCCAGGTCTTGAGGTAGTTCTGCAGCAGGCTTGCATTGTTGGTCATGCCGCTGCTGATCTGGGCCTGGATCTTCTTGATGTCCTCATCTCGCTCTTCAGAAGACACAGATTCTTCTCACTGATGTCCACCCCCACCCAAGCTCCAGCCAAGCCCCGGGGCACTGCCCCGACCCTCCACTCCAACATCAGTTCTTCAAAGAAGTACCCCTAAAACCTGAGCCTTAGAAGGCAAAGGGGGAGGCCATAAGTGAAGGTATAACTCCATCTCTTCCCCAGGCTCAGAGGCTTCTCCTGTGGGCATCGAGGCCTCTTCTAGCCCACCTCCAGTATCAAACTTGTCTTTAGTCACCACCAGCCCCAGTGCCCAGATTTCATGAAATTAGTCACTTAATCTCAAGTCCCACTGATGCCCCTGCTCCCTTCCCAAGTCTGGCCCCGAGCTGGTTTCCCACTGGCCAAGGAGAAGCTCACCCAGTACAACTGGAAACAGCCCTGGTCTCACCTCCCAGCTCTGCCCAGCCTTTGATAGCCCTGTACACTGTGCCCTCCCCACTGCCCACTCACCCACAATTGTATGGATGGGCTCCCGCTGCACCTTGCGCTTGATAAGGATATCAGGAAGATGGCGGAAGACAGAGATGGTAGAAATAAGGTGACTGCCAATGTCATTGACCACACCTGCCAGAGTCTGCTGGGTGGGTGAGAATTCCACCTGTGGGGAGCACAGTGGAGATGGCCTTAGCATATACTACAGAGGGGACAAAGCTCAGGACTGGCAAGGCTGAACCCGTCAGGACCAGCTCTGGGGGCCATTGCAGAGAGTCAAGGACAAGAACCAAGTTCAGGGACTGAGGGAAACTAATGAATGAGGCGTGCTATTTTTGGCCTGTTGGGGCCACAGTAGTTCTCACCTGAGCCCCACCTCCCTGAACATCGGTCTGCAAAATGACAAGAACTCGGAAAAGTGGGTTTGGAGTAGTCTTCCCATCCCCGTTGATGGCCTTGGACAGTTCCAGCAGTGACCACTTCACATTCAGGCGCAAGGCGTCCTCCATCATGTGATCCAGGCGAATCGTGTACAGCATCCACTGCTGCTGAATCTGGTGGGAAAGGGGGATGAGAGAGAAGCCCTGAGGGAAGGCAGGGAAGGCCCTGAAATGAGAATCAGTGACTGTGAAGGGACAAGCTGCTTAAACAGAAAGGCAGGACACTAGTACTGAGGAGGAGGTTTGACTGGCTGGCTGCATCCAGGACTAGAAAAGGATGACTAAGAAACACAGAGCAGGGGAAGAGAATGGCCCGCTGGGACCAGGGACAAAGGTTTTATCCAACACTGAGCTCTAGGCAACAGACCCCTACCTCAGGGCCATCATTCTTGAAGACTTCGTAGGAGTTGGTCAGGATGTTTACCACATCCTGGTGTAGTTTCATCAACTTCTGCTGTACAGCTTCCCGATGTTCTCTTTGGTCTTCCTCAAACTCCAGGTCCCTGTACACCCGTTTGCCGCTAATGCGAACCAGCAGTGTTTCTGACATCTCCTGGGCCCGCCAGCCAATGGTCAGAGTGGAGGCCTTGAAATCGTTCACAATCATCTGCACCTAGAGTCAGACCCCACCGTGGTTCACAGTCGGCCACCTTCTATGAACTAGCACATCTTCCACTGAATTGTCCTGGCACCTTGGATCTCAGATCTTGAATCTTCTTCCCATGAGGGGGTTTCACACCCCACAGACTTGATCCTTTCCTCCCCCTCCCTTCCAGCTAGAGTTGCTAACATAGAGAAGTCCTTTCCCAACATACTTTACTTCTTTTACGCTACCCCCAAGTCTCTCTGCCATCACCCAAGACTCATGTGTCGGTTACCCACTTTTATCAGCCTTGCAGGCCTCAGGGTCTATTGGCCATGGCCCACCTTGCTGGCATGTATGCGGCACTCTGTGATGAAGAAGGCGCTGGCCCCCTTCAAGGCCCAATTCAGCTTCTTGAGGCCAGGATGGATCTTCTTATCCAGGAATCGGATACGCTCTTTGAATAGGGCCTGTTCATCTGGGGACAGCATGCCAATAATCCTGTGTATAAGAGAGGACTGTTAGCTGATGGGGACAAACTCTGAAGACCTCTCAACACCAGCAAACTGGATGGGGGAATCTGAAAGTTCAATTCTAAACCAGTGTTTTCAAAAGAGACTTCCTGTGATAGTAGAAATGTTCTAAAACGTGCACTGTCCAAAATGGTAGGCACTAGTCACAGGTGGCTATAGAGCACTGGAAATGTGGCCTTTGCCAGTGGGCACACTTGTTTTTACATTTTAATGAACTAATTTAAATGGAAATAGCCACATGTGGCTGGAGGCTACCTCACCGAACACAGTAGCTCTAAATATTCAAACAAGACAACTTGTTCCATCCCCTTGGACTTTCACTGAGCTGGACTGAGACACTTACCTGCTCTGGTCTGAGTCCCCTCTCCCCAAATCCCTACGTTGAAACCCTCACTTCCAAGGCAATAGTGTCAGGCATTGGGCCTCTAGGAAATGATTAGGTCACGAGGGCTAACCACTCATGAAAGGAATTAGGGCCTTGATAAAGTAGGCCTGAGAAAGCTCCTGCCTCCTTCTACATGTGAGGACACAGCAGCAAGTGGCCATCAATGAACCAGGAAAGGAGTCCTTACCAGAAACTAAATGTACCTGGATCTTTGACTTCCAAGCATCCAGAACCAGAATTATAAATTTCTGTTGTCATCAGCCACCCAATCTATGGTATTTTGTTACAGCAACCTGAATTTACCAAGCTAGTACCTAACCCAGAACAAAGCCACACTCTGGAGATGGTAGCAGGAGTTGAGAGACCAGGGGGTGGGATGGCATGGGGGCATCCCGGCCTTGGTTCAATGAACCTGATGTCGTCTTAAGCCGATAATACTAACACCACCCAGCTTCATTCCCAAAGAAGGGCCTCATGGGGTGGGAGAAGACCTGGTTGCTCTCTTCTCTACAGCTAGAAGATGAAACTACAAGGGACAGAAATAATAATAGGGCCATAAGAGACACTACGGGGAAACTTTTTTTATATAGACAAAATATAATAAAGGACAGAAACTTTAGGGAATGGACAGCATCACAGGGTAGACAAAACAAAGAGGAAGAACAAAACCGCGTCCAGAAGGGCGACAGGGAGCCTGGAGCCCTACCTGTTGTAGTCTCGAGCAACAAGCAGCAGATTCTCCCTCAGGATGCGCAAATCCTCAGCTCGCTCAGCTACGTTCACCACATAATGGGGAATCTCAAATAGCAGCCGTTCCCAGTAGTCAATCTCCACGAAGAGAACCAAAAGGGACCTGGAGAGACAGAAAAGCAGAGCTGTGGAGGGACCTGTTCAAGGGGACAAACTAGAGCCAGCAGGGCAACGAGGAGTGTGTGGCTGGGAAGCAGAGGGGCATTCAGAGGTAGAGAATGCAACAGAACTTCCAGGTGACAAAGGCGACCAGAGACAGTTGTATTTGCTCCTGCCCACACCACCTGAGCAAAAGGAAAGGGGATTTGTGCGCTTAAGGCATGAGCTCACAGGTATAAGGAGGCAACAAATGAGTCCTGGAAGTTGACAAACAGACGGGTAAGGACCAGAAGGGAAAGAATAAGTTAAGGACCAGAAGGGAAAGAATAAGTTAAAGAATAAGCAGTGGAGACAGCTGAGAAACCACCCAGACTCTCTAAGATGCAGGTGGCTTCAGAGAAGTCTCTAGAAGCAGGGTGAAGATGGGGCTCAAGCTGAAGCGCTGTGGAGCTGTGTCCCTCCTCTACTCCGCACAGTCAAGCAAGCATCTTCTCCTCACCCCAGCAATGCACTGGTGGTCTATGGTCTGATACAGCAGTACAAACAGGGGGCTTTTGGACTGAGGACCCCAGGCTGAGCTGGAGGAGAGAGTAATGTACTGAGAGCAGGGGTATTACATGGCCAGACACATGCTGAATGTTGAGACTCCAGTCTTTGTTCCCACCAGCAACCCACATGCTGGCAGGGACCTAGGCTTCCTGGGGTGAGTTTGGAAGATGCTTTTCTGTGGCCTCGGACTAGCTTAAGAGGAGAATCCTAAAGGTGATGACCTCAGGACCCCCCAAAAAAACAGCCCACCTAAACAACTCTGCAGCAAGCCCGACAAGTGCTACCTACCCGACTCAGAACTTCCAGTCAGCTTTGAGATCCCTTCCTTAAATACGAACCAATGATCATAAAACATCGTTCCCTGCCTCTCTTAGTACCAAGGCTGGAAGCCAAAATAAACAAGCAACTAGAAAGAAACAAAAGGATGGATTGCTCAACCCAAATAGAAAAACCAACAAAACTGTCACTAACATCCTGAGAAAAATAAGAGACATGAAAAGCATCCGTGAAGGAAGAATAAGATGCTTCAGAAAGGAACACTAGAAGAGCTTTTGAAAGTTAGAAATGATAGTAGAAACATTTAAAAATCAAAAGAAAGACATAAAATAAAATCAGCAGAAATCTCTCCAAAGGTAGAGAAAAACACACAGAAGTGGAAGGCAGAAGGGACTTCATAGGGAAGAAAAAGAATAGAAAATATTCCATTAATAATTTTATATTAGCTGGCTGTGGCAGCACACGCCTATAACCCTAGCACATGAGAGGCGGAGCCAGGAGGATCTCTGTGAGTTGGGGGCCAGCCGGGGCTACAGAGTGAAACTCTGCCTTAACAAATAAATAAATCAATCCCGCCAACTTTTACGCTGATAATGTGTGGGAATGGTAATATTTTGTGATTGCTGGGTTCAATATTAAAATAGATTTTCCTTGTTTCTTTTTCCTTTTTTAAAAGACATATCGCAGATTTCTCACTGCACATACAATCCTCATCCCAAGTGTTCTTTGCCTCCAGTGACCTTTCTCCTTCTTCCATTCTAGGTGCTACTCCCCCACCACACCCCAGAATGCATTCGTAGCTCATCTGTATCTGAAGCCGTGGGGCAGGCACCTGCTCCTGAGCCTGGCTTCCTCCCCGCCACTCCCACACCTCCTCACGGTCTCTCAGCGCACCTGTGCTCCGACCTCCGGTGGACATCCTAGGCCCTGTTCTTTCTTCCTGCCTCACAGTGCCTTCTCACTTTCACTTTGTGCTCCACGGGCTCTGCTGTCTGTCTGTCTGTCTGTGTCTGTCTTTTTTTCCTTACTGACGCTGGTGATTGAACCCAGGGTCTCAGACATGCTAAGCACCTGCATCCTCCACAGCGCTACACCCCGAGCCCTTCGCCTCTTCTCACCAACCCTCACTCTTAGGTCTCCTTATCAGTGTCAACCATCTAACCCAAACCCCAAACTCTGCTCAAACCCAAGCTGAGTAACGCTGGAGAAAGTCACAGGCGCAGGTCAGCACCACTGTGCCCTGCTCTCCCTCCTTCCACCTTCAAGGGACTACTTGCAAATTCTTCCTGAAGCTGGGCTCACCCATTCTCACGGCAGAGGGCCTCACCTCACAGTCACAGAAACAGAAAAAGCCATGGGGAGAACTCATCCACTTCCTGTCACACAATGTGTACACTCAGCTGTCTCCACACCTAGGCTCTTTCCCAGTTACGATAGAATCCCCGCCCCACCCAACGCTAAACGTCTACAGTCTTAGTTTGTAAATAAAAACAGCCCTTCTCCACATTTATCCTGCTAAATAAATGAGGTACCACACTCTGCCTTCCCTTCACACCTGGCCTCCTCTGAAGAACTACCCTAGAAGATTCCCTTCCTGTCCTTTCCTCCCAGTCTCTCTCATCCTCAAAGAGCAGGCTCCTCACTTCCCCCACTATCACCTCTGGAACTCACCAAGCTCGTCAGGGATTCTCACAGCTGAGCCGCAGGGATGCTTCTCAGCACTTTCCCTCCTGCATCTTTCTGTAGGTTCCCGCTTCTTCAAACATGCTTTTCCCCAGCTGTACACCACAGCTCTCCCCTTCTCTGCTCTTCCCGGTCCGTAGCAGCATCCTCGCCTCTCCAGCATCCCCAGGAACCATTCAGCTGGGTCCTGGAGCGCAATCAAGAATCTGCTCTCTTAAATGGCTTTCTTGAGACTTCACAGTCAGTAACTCTCCCTGCATCACATCCTCATCCACTCCAGTGGCTCGAGCCGCCTCTGTAAGCCGATCATGCCCAGACCTACGTGGCTGAGCTCTAGACTTGTTTTTTGTTATTGTTTCTTGTTTCCTGAGACAGAGTCTTGCTATGAATTCACTAGGTAACCCAAGTTGACCTCAAACTCATAGTGATTCTCCTGCCTCAGCTTCCTGAGAGCTGGGATTACAGGTGTACACTACCCATGCCCAGCAGAGCTCTAGACTTGCATGTATATGAAAGGTCTGTCAGATATCACTCCCCCGTGCAGCTCAGAGGCACCTCAAAGTCAGTATGGCCACAGACAATCTTGTCTGGAAATTTGGAGCTCCTTTCTCAGAGAAAAACTACACCCCAGGATCAGCGCTCCAGAAAGACCAGCACACCAGCAACACCACCACACCAGGAAGAGCAGCACCGAGGAAGAGTAGCACCAAGAAGGAGCATCACCAGGAATGAGCAGTACCCCAGGGAGAGCGCAGCACCCTTCTGCCTACACCAGAATCATGTGTCCTGCCTCGGGCTCACTTTCCAACATCCTACAACTACCAGCTCCTTCTGTTTTTCTATTCTGAAGCAAAGTTCAGAAACTCAGATATCTCTAAGGAAAGTGTGACGATAAACAGCAGGTGTCACTTGGCCTCACACTGAGCTCAAGTGTGCGCTCAATCTGAAAAGGCCACAGCCAAGGGCTCCAGGCTGGCCCAGCAGAGCCACATTTTCTGACTTTTCAAGAAAGGCCACAAAGTGGATTTTTACATAAAAGTCTCCTGAATTTTAAGTGTTAACAACGACCTCAACTAAAAATAATGTTGAGGAACATGACTTTGGGGCTGGCAATGTCTATCCTTGACTCAGGTGGTATAGCAAAGATGTTTGCTTTCTGTAGATGTTTGTTAAACTGGTCATATGAGTTTTAAGTACAAATCTGTCTATAATATGTTTCATAAGTTAAATTGTTTTTGGTTTTTTGAGAAAGGGCCACATTACGAGAAGTACCCCAGGGAGAGCAGCAGATGACACTTAGCATCTGAACTCATTAAGTAGCCCAGGCTAGCCTCAAATTCACAGCAATCCTCCTGCCTCAGCCTCCCAAGTGCTAGGATTACAGGCATGCACTATTATGCCTGGCCTAATAAAAATGTTTTTAAGGGAAAAAAATCTATTTTAAACACTAAGATATTTGTAAAAGTGTCTCAGTACAAAATTATAAAAATAAAAACTTTCTAATATAAAACTAGCTACAACCAGTTAGAATTATTATGGAGGAAAAAAGACCAATGATAAAGCATAAAAATAAAATATCAGAAATTATTATATATATGGAGTCCACCAAAAATGTACACATATTTCAGGAAAAAAAATAGTACAGTGTTTTTTCAACAGATTCTGTTCCTCTTGTATAAGGGACCCTAGAGGAGGTTGTGTTTCTCAGAAAACCCACTACACTGCTGGCCCTTAGAGAAGAAATTGAAAATGCATGTGCAGCAATCTCAATAACCAAGGTTACCCAAGCAGCAGTTCACCATACTGATAAATGCCTGGAAGCTAATGGTCATCACTTTGCCCACCTCTTGTAACTGTAGAGGCCTAAAGTAACTTGTATTAATCTCATGATGTCTCAATAAATTTAGTATTACACCATTTATATAAGTTTTTCTTTTCCTGAATTATATACATTTTTTGGCAGAATATATATATATATATATATATATATGGAAATATGGAAATGACATACGTAAAATACAGGACTTACATTGAAAGAAAATGCTAATTTTGGATAGAACAACTAAAAATCATAAAGATATGCATTCTTTTAAAGTTAACCTACAAATTTAACCCAGTCTATAACAATAAAAATAGAAATGGGCTGGGTGTGGTGGCAGATGCCTGTAAACACAGCACTGGGGAGAGGAGGTAGGAGGACTGCCACAAGCTCAAGGCCAGCCTGAGCTATATACTGAATTAAAGCAGCCTGCACTACAAAGCAAGATACTGTCTCAAAAAAAAAAAATGGGACTAAAGTGGGCACCGTGGTGCACACCTGTAATCCCAGCACTGAGGAGGCTGAGGTAGGAGGATCGCTGCGAGTTCAAGGCCAGCCTGGGCTATAAAGTGAGTTCAAGGCCAGCCTGAACTGCATAGTGAAACTCTGTCTCAAAAAGACAAATGGGCAGGGGGACTATTTTTGGAACTAAACAAATTGGTTCAAAAATGGTTATG